ACACCCGCTGCCACTCGATCGAAGTCATCTAATGATGAACAAGTTTGAGGATCCTGAAGATCCAGATTACAGATGTGTTGCAGCGAAAATTGAAGAAATTCTCCAAAATATTCGTACAAATTCCTTGCTCGATGACGCTGACGCTTGGATACGGAACAAGCATTATACTGCAGACAAGCTCAAGATTGAACGTCTCTCGGGTGACTTGTTGTCAATGGATCAGTGCTACATCAATCTTGTCGTTGTGGAACAGCGCGACCAAGATGTAAGTCGCTCAAAGAGGGGCTACGGAACAACCTCCCCATTTTCGCTCTTCAATCGACAAAAGGTTGAGACACCAGAAGAAGCGATCCAGGTTGAATTGGAAGCAATCTTTAATCAACGCAGAGGACGCGATGGTAATCTAATACAACCAAGAAGAATCCTCATTCGAGGACGCGCAGGAGTTGGCAAGACTACCTTGTGCAAGAAGATTATCCATGAATTTACCAGAGGCACCTGGGGCGAATGGAACAACTTGTTTGACCGCGTCCTTTGGGTACCTCTACGAAACCTAAAGCTGAAAGAAAGACGTGAAATAGCTGGATACAACTTTGAACAGCTCTTTGCTCATGAATATTTCTTTCCGTCGTCTGAGAAATTGGAGTTTGCTAGGCAATTGTTCTTGGCCTACGAATTAGAGTTGGAGACGAACAGTAGCAGGACTTTATTTCTCCTTGATGGATTAGATGAAGTATCCCAAGACCTTGGCGAAGGAAGTATGTCTGACTTCCTTAACGAGCTTTTAAAACAGCCAAACATCATAGTCACTTCTCGGCCATCCAGCAAAATGCTACCTGGCATGGATCTCGAATTAGAAACGATCGGATTCTACCCAGATCAAGTGAAGGACTACATCGAAAAAGTCTTTACTAATCCAAAAACGGTCGAGATTGATATGGAAACAGTCAACAAAGTTCGGACCTTTCTTCAAAACCATTGGCTGATTCAGGGCCTTGTGCGTATCCCCATTCAATTGGATGCGCTTTGCTATTCCTGGAAGGATATTCGCAGCGATATGCCGACGACCATGTCTGCCCTTTACCAAACTATAGAACTTAGCCTGTGGAAGAAGGACATTTTGCGACTAAAGAAAACACATGGCGAGAATCCAGTAACAGCGGGCCATATCCAAGCTGCCAGTCGCCGAAAGATCGAAGAATTCGTCAAAGATGAGATACTTTTCCTTGAGAGCCTTGCGTTTACTGGACTACATGATGATGTAATAGAGTTTGAACAGAATCATTTGAACTGTATATCTGACTCCATCCGGAATTTCTTGCCAGACAAGACCATTCCATGTCTTTCCTTTCTGCGAAGCTCAAACCCTTCTTCAGAAGACTGCAACCGAAGCTATCACTTTATACACCTCACTTTTCAGGAGTACTTCGCAGCGCGGTATTTTGTACGGCAATGGGTTGCTGGAGCAACGCTCAATTGTATAGAACTCAGCAATGGGAAGATTGACAAGTCTGAACCTGTCAAGTTCTTTCAGAAGCACAAATACACAGCACGCTACGACATCCTGTGGCGATTTGTTGCCGGATTACTTGACTCCAGAAGGCAAGAAGACAACGGGGAAATCGAGCAGTTTTTTCAGAAAATCGAGGAGGAACCACTCGATTTTTTAGGTCCTACGCATCAACGGCTAGTCATGCATTGCTTGAGCGAAGTACTGAGTAACTTTCCAATTCGATTCGGCCTGGAACAGCACCTGGCCAAGTGGCTAGTGTTTGAAGGCGAATTCACAAAAAGTGAGATTCTTCACCTAGCAAGTGAGATAGAGTTTCCTGAGCAGTCATTGAGCACCGCCTTTCGCCAAGGGTCTCATGATGTGAAGGCAAGAATTCTACAGTCGCTAAAGAAACGGCCCACGTTTCCGGCGAGCATTATTGAAGAGGTAGTCTCCTGGCTAGAACACGACAAATGTTTTCCCCAAGCTTCCACCATCAAAGCCTTGAAGCAGTTGTCCTTGCCTGTCGAGATCCTTAGCTCTGTAGCAGCACGTCTAAAGGATAAGACGGGATTTATCCGAAAGGCTGCTGCTGTAGTCTTGGGCCAGCAAGCGGACTTGCCTAACAAAATCCTGGAGGATTTAGTAGCTCAGCTTAAGGATAAGGACGAGGCTGTCCGATTGGCTGTTATCAAAGCCTTAGGTCGGCAAAGCTTGCCTAACGAGATCCTGATGGATATGGCAACGCAGCTTGAGGATGAGGGCTGGTCTATCCGACGGGCTACCGCTACAGCCTTGAGTCGGCAAACCTTGCCTGACGAGATTCTGAAGAACATAACCGTGGGACTTAAGGATGAGGATGAGGCTACCCGATTAGCTATTGTTGAAGCCTTAAGTCGGCAAAGCTTTCCTAACGAGATCATGATCGGGGGGCTTGAGGATAAGGACTGGTCTACCCGACGGATTGCTATTGAATTCTTAGGCCGGGAAGCGAACTTACCTAACGAGACCCAGGAGGACATAGTTGCACGGCTTGAAGATAAGGACAGGTTCATCCAATGGGCTGCCATTGGAGCCTTAGGTCGACAAACCTTACCTAACAAGATCCTGAAAGATATAATCGCGGGACTTAAGGATCAGGAATGGTTTATCCGACTGGCTATTCTTGAAGCCTTAAGCGGGCAAGCGAACTTACCCCACGAATTAAAAGCTGTAGCAGCATGGCTTAAAGACGAGAATAAATACGTCCGAGGGGCTGCTATCCAGTCCTTATGCCGGCAAGCACCTTCACCCAAGGAGATCTTCAACGCTGTAGTAGCGCGGCTTAAGGACGAGGAAAGATCTATCCGAAATGCTACTATCGGGTCTTTAGGCCAGCAAGCAGCCTTATCTAATGAAGTTCTTAAAGCCACAGTAGTCCAGCTTGAAGACGAGAGTGCAATCGTCCGAGAGGCTGCTGTCCGGTCCTTGGGCCAGCAAGCAGCCTTGCCTAGCGAAATTATGAAGGCTATAGCTGCACGGCTTGAAGACGATGATGGAGACGTCCGAGAGGCCACTGTCCAGTTCTTAAACCAGCAAACAACTTTACCTGACGAAATCTTGATTGCTATAGCGGCGCGGCTTAAGGACGAGGTTAAGTCAGTCCGACAGACCGCTGTGTTTGCAATACGAAGGCATAGGGAATTCTATTGCACTCACCTCGCGGCCTCTGATGCTGCCTCTCTTTATGATGTTTTGTTCTTGCTTAGCTTTCAAGAACAATTGAGTTGGTACGTTGACGATGATTACACCTATATCAACTTCCCGGAAGGCATTATGAAAAGTCCTCGTCATGAACACCATGGTCTCTCGGGGTTTACTAGAAGCATGCCGAGACGATGATAAAAATTTAAAATAAAACAAAGCTCAAATAGCAAATTTGGCAAGATAGTTAAAGACATTATATCTTCGCATTATATCAGCCACTATAACTCGGAGTGCTAAACGAGCATAAGATTGGTGTATCTACAGTGCTACCGTGATAAACCTTGATGTTGGTTCTCTACTCGGAAAGAAAGAGAGCGAAAGAATAGCCATCATAATCATCACTATACTAACAAATTATGTGTATAAGTACATGTATGCTTTATAAAGGATACGCAGTGCCATGGACTTCAATATTAGGTACGCATCACTCAGGCGTCTCCATTGTCCAAACAGGTCGTTACATGCTCAGTAACATATAGACAGCTACATACCCAGTAACACGTCCCCATAGAGTTTTTATTACACTCCCGTTTGGCCGAAATTATACATCAGCCCACGTGTGATGGCATCCGCCACATTTGGCAATTGTAATGAAAGTTGTCATGTCAGGCCACCTAAACTATCGTACCAGGTACATGTACTTGCTGCTAGCCATGTAAACGGGCTGTTATTGCTTTTCCTGCGGGGGAAGATGTTGGAGAAATTGCCGATACGAGATAAACTGGCAACAGGTCCAGTCTCTAATGCAAGGTACAGATACAGGTGCTCTTCATTTCGGGCTTGAAGCAGAACAGCGGCCCCGAACTCAGCTGTTCTATTACTATTGAGGTGACATATGATAGCCTTGGAAATCTCTGGTTATTAATGGCTGGGATGTTCCCCCAACTTTACCTCGACTAGTTTACTCCGTACGACCCAGTAATTTACCAGCAGCCCGCCACAGCATCGTCGGGCGCTAGGCCAGTGTCTGAGACATTGAAGCTCATGCAGCTGCAGGCTAATTAGCAGGGATGCGGTGCTGTCATCCCGTCAAAATAAACCCACTACAGTAGCTAAGGCTGATGGAGTCTGGACTTTGGGAAGCTGTACTTGTACTCGTCAATCCATTTCGACAGCTTCTACCGACAACAATGTTAAACCTTCAACCTCCATATCAATTGAATCACGCTTTTGCGCCGTCTTATTGCTTTTTCTAATCCATCGCCTCTGCGCAATCAAGCTCAACTTCCAATATTCTACGCCTCAACCTCCAGGTTCGGCCATTTAATGTTCCACCAGCCCACCTAAAGGCGCTCCGTCGCATCAATAAACAGGCTGCAGACACGTGCCACAAGCCGGGCAACTTGGTGTGCCGCTCCTCCAGCCTTTTCAGAGCCTCGATCCTCCCAGCTGCAATCCCTAGAGAGGCCTCGCCCTCCTTTGCTGCTGTTCTGGGCCTTTTTTTCTCGCAGAAGGTGAGAGAGGACCATTGCAAACCGCCAGAAGCAAAAGAGCAAAGGACAAAGAAAAAAAAGACAGCAACTCGGGGGAACAGTAATCGGTGTCTTTCAAAGGCTTTGTGGTGGCTCATGACGCCAGAGGCATGCATTGGCCTATAAACATATTCTCTCTTTGGACTTTAAACAATGCACGCGATTCAGATGGGACATGTGAAATCCTGATGAATTTCAACCCTTGACGATTTTTTATTTTTCTCTCTCTGTCCTTTTCTCGACTCTCGACTCTCATTTCACAGTATAGAGGATCATCACTCACCCTCATCATGCCAACCTACTTATGTCACGGTTTTCGATGGACGCGCAGGCTCATCCGCATTTGGGTCATCATGGAGGATCTGGATGATGCCGCGCCAGATTGGATCACGGGTCGCACCACCTCGGCGGTCATCCTCGAACGCTTCGCCACCAAATTCAACTACTTACCTCAACGCCCGCCCTCACAGCAGCAGCCTGAGCAGAATTCGGAGCACCAGCAAGAAGAGGCACAGCAAGAGGAGAAGAAGATTGCTCATCAAGACGACGATTTGACTGTGCCTCCATCACGTGTTCCCGACGCTGAAGACAGTGTCTTGGTCAACCAATCATCTCCAGTGAAGCTGCTGGAGGAGTACGACCCGGAGGAAACATTCATCTCGGCGCGACCATTCGCCTATGTCGCAGACCACGTCATTCGCATAGATCTGAGCGCCAACGTATTAGAGGAAATCGCCAAATACGAGGCTCTCGTCAAGGAGATGGATGAGGGCAACTGGTTCGAAAGGCTCCGCGACGAGCTGCAAATGGGGATGGCAAAGGCGCCGCCTATTGAGTGGTACGTCGTCGTCAATGGAGACGAGGAGCGCGGTGTGCCCCAGGACGATGATGAGGATAGCTTCGACAGCGAAATGAGAGAAGTTGAGGAATTGAATTTGGGCGAGGAGGGGAGCGAAGCAAAGCGTGAGCAGCAGACAGCCGGTTCCTCACAACAGCGGAGTACGAACAGCCGGCCCGTTGACCAGCAGCACTCCCTACGGCACAAGATCTCGAGGGCAGGCTTGCGACGTTTGTTTAGCAAAAAGGAGGCTTCTGAGTAATCGGAATGTTATATCAAGCATATCATAATTATTAATGGAATTGAGCGGGAGTATCAAGGCGCGACATGGGAGGGTGCTTGGGAGAATGCTTAGGGGGTTCGATGGACACTATGTGTACGATATCGCGCAGGCGGGCTGGCGCGTGTAATTTAGCACAAAGGTATAGCAATGGAACTCCATAGCTGATATCATATTGATTAATATTGATTTAATACAATGCGATTGATGCAGTTACGGTGCATCATGTTGTGAGAGCTTACAAGCTATGAGTGAAACCCAAGGCGCATATTCATAAGGTGCGGCAGCGCATTAGCATTTAAGGACTGATGTACAAGAATGCGACGCAAGGTATAAGAGATCCGTATCAAAACAAACTCGAGAAAGCCAAAACAAAAAAAAAAAGAAAGAAAGAAAGAAAGAAAGAAACATATAGTAGCATTATACAGTCTTCTTGAACAAAAAAGTAGATGTTTTACTCAAGATCGTGTAAGTCGCCCAGGTCAGCATATGACGTCGTCCCCTGTCACGTGTAGCTAGCTAGGGATAGGAGATGCAGCTATCGCGCATGCTGGACAGGGGACGGGAACAATTTTATAGAAGAGCTGCTTTGCTATCCTTCTTAATCTCCCTCCCCCAGCACCCCCCGGGCCGCCCATTCATTCCCGCTCTGGGAGAGAATACGGAGCACTGAGAGGGAGAGGCGAGTCTGTGCTTGTTCCGGAGAACGAATCGCAAATCGCATGGCGACCATCCTCGACCGCCAATTACGCCGCCGCGCAAACCAGTATAAGCCGTCCCTTGTCGTCCAACTTGCCTGCCAATGCAATGGCCTACCACATCCCCCGCGATGAGTCCCCGTCGTTTGCCCAGACGGGGGAGGAATTCCACCTGGACAGCGACGTATACGATGAAGACGAAGACGACGATTTGCGGTCCCAGGTCGGCGGCAGCAGCTCGGAGACGTATGAGATGGTGAGCGGCGGGAAGAGGCGACAGGACCAATACAAGATTGGAGGAGGACACAGCAGCGAGCGGCTCATGGAGGGTGATTATGTCGACGCCGGACCTTCGACGGCGGGAGGCGGAGGCAGAGGCCGTGGCCTGAGCGTCAGCTCCGTGGAGAGCTTCCAGCTGTACACGCCGGACGAGGACAAGGCCGTGAGGCGCAAGTTTGACCGCAAGCTGGTGCTCTTCGTGGCGCTGCTGTATATGCTGAGCTTTCTCGACCGATCCAGTGAGTCGCATTGCACTGATACAATGGATCATGTCCTATGGGAAAAGCTGGACTTGACTAACACTGCATCTCCCTAGATATCGGCAACGCGCGCATCGCCGGCATGGACGAAGATTTGCAGTCCAGCCCTCCTCGCGAAGAGTGGTACGAGTGGGCTCTCACGTCCTTTTACATTGCCTACATTGCCTTTGAATGGATGTCCCTCCTGTGGAAGCTCATTCCGGCGCATATATACGTCTCCGTGCTGGTCTTGACCTGGGGACTAACAGCATCGCTACAAGCCATTGCCGTGTCATATCCGATGCTCATCACGCTGCGTGTTCTACTTGGTATAGGAGAGGCGGGCTTCACAGGTGTGCCTTTTTATCTGAGCTTCTTTTACAAGAGGCACGAATTGGCCTTTCGCACTGCTATTTTCATCTCAGCCGCTCCCCTTGCGACAAGCTTCGCATCAACTCTGGCGTGGATCATCGTCAAGGTTGGCCAGCTCAGTCCCATTGCGCCCTGGCGCCTCCTCTTCCTCATCGAAGGCTTCCCCTCGGTCATCGTCTCCGTCATCGCCTGGAGCGTCATCCCCGACTCCCCCCAGACGGCTCACTACCTCACCAAGCGGGAGAAGAAAGTCGCCCGCCTCCGTCTCCGTCGCGAAACCTCCTCGCCCTCAAAGACCAACAAGAAATCCCCTCTCAAAGCTCGTGAGATCCTCTCTGTTCTTCGTGACCCCATTGCATGGATCACCCCCGCCGTGTTCTTCCTCACCAACATGGCCTACTCCTCTCTCCCCGTCTTCCTCCCGAAAATCCTCACCGAGATGGGCCACGACAGCCTTACCGCCCAAGCTCTAAGCGCACCCCCTTACCTCCTCGCCTTCTTCATCGTCCTCTTCACAGCTCACATGTCCGATCGCCTCACCGCCCGCACCGCCCCCATCGTCTTCCACGCTCTCTCCTCAGCATTCGGCTACGCCATCCTCGCCCTCTCCCACCCCCTTCACGTCCCGCCCTTCGTCCGCTACCTCGCAGTCTACCCCGCCGCTATCGGCTTCTTCAACGTCGTCACCCTCGTCATCGCCTGGAACATCAACAACCAGGCCAGCCAGAGCCGTCAGGGCGGCGGCTTCGCACTCATGCAGCTCATCGGCCAATGCGGGCCCCTCATCGGCACGCGCCTCTATCCTGACCGTGAGGCGCCGTACTACACGCGCGGCATGTGGACCTGCGCATTGGCCATGCTTTCCGTGGCTTTCTTGGCTGTCATTTTGCGTTTCTACTTGAAGCGACAGAACCATAAAATGGACAAGGCTGAAAAGGAGAGGCAAGCAGACAGCACTACCGTCGAGGAGGAGGGCTTGGTTGTTCCCGGGAAGAAGAGGAGACACGCAGACAAGTTCCGATACATGTTGTGAAAGGCGATGAGGCAATCACTAATTCATCTAGGATATTTAGACTTTGGAGTTGGAGGATATTGGATAATTTTTGCATTTCTGTTTTGGATAAAATAATGTAGACAGCCAGCCTATACACTCATCGAATGGATCTAATACCTATTCCACCTATAGGACAGCCCGAAATTCCATATGCATGTCCAAGCTATTGTATCGCTCAAGCATCACTCAAGAGCGAGAAAACCCACCGAAATTCATCCACTTGGGCGCCTCAAACATCTTGACACCATCCATCCACCAATCTTCACTCGCACAAACCCTGCCCTCAGACGAAAATATGCCAGAGTTCCTGTCAGACTTTTCTTTGCACGGAGATGATTCTGAGTTCGTCCCGCGGTGGCGCATCCTCCACGTTTCAAACATCCGCCGATCTTGTCGAGCCGGACATATCCACTTCAGTCGGGCCTGGCTGAGCTTTTGACTTCCTTGATGGTACACGCTGCTGGCCCACTTCCGTAAGCCGAGCTTTGGGTGCTTGGAAAGGGGGTTGGCCAGGCTATGGAGAGAGAAGACGGATGCTTTGCGTTTGATCTTTTTGTGAATATGCTCTTGGTCTGCCGGTGTGCTTGGCGAACGTACGGTAGAAGCAGAGCTCTCCAATCTAGCGTTTGCTTCATTTGCACCATCGTATTGACCATCGATGGTATCCATGCTCTCCCAGGTTAATCCTCTTGCTTTCTTCGACGGGCTACAAGTGACCATCGCAAGATGTTCTCCGGATGGACTTGGGTGCTGCGAGGCAGAGTCGGTAGGAAGCACTTCTGTGCTTTCCACGAGCTCGTACTGATTATATGGAGTTACCCTCGGTCGAGGTTGGCCCTGACGCTCCATGATGGCTGTAACAGCTTCCATCACCTCGAGGGGGTTAGTGCTCATGGTCCTGTCATAATACTCGTCTGAAGATAGAGTAGAGCGGAGGTTCGAAAGTCGGTCATTTGCCTTGCTGAAGCGAGACAAATCGGTGTGGCTAAGCTTGTTTGGACGATACATTGACTCTGGCGACTGGATCCGCGTAGATGCTTTACCTTGAGAGGGATAAGAGGAAGATGTTTTCCGAAGGTGGCGGCTCATTTCCGACATTGAAAGAACCGGGCCCGACAAGTCATACTTGGGGACGTTCATCATCTCGTGGTCATTATCGTTAATCTGCAATAGCGCTGGAGGTGGCATAGTCGTAATGCTGCTGCTAAAAGAAGAGTCGCGGGTATCTCCATCTAGATTTCCACTCCTGGGGCGAAGTGGAAGCTGTCTGAAATCTTTCCACTATCGGCTGTGTAGATTGCTTCCCCTTCCTGAGCCGGACATCTTGGAGATTTCTTGCCAAAGCGGCTGAGATCCAACACCCCAAGCGCTCGACGACCTAGCAATAGGCTCAAGGATCTCTGCTTCTTCATTGTGAATAGGTACCAGGCTCGACGCCTTGCGAAGCTTCACTTCTTCATCACGGTCTGATTCTGTTGTCTCGCCTGACTTTGGCGTTTCAAAAGAAGCTGAGCGTGACTGGGCTGGAGTCTTTGGGAGGTTAGTTCCAAATAGTCTCGAGTGTCTGCGTGCAAGAGGTTTGCCAGGAGAGACGCTGTCAGACTGAGCAGGGCGACGAGAAGGAAGCATAAAGTGTTGACGCATGGCGTTGATGGTTCCCGAACGTGTTAGTGGTAATATGAGTGCGAAATAATATGTGGATGGATAAAAGTCATATCATACGAGGTATTGAAATGCCTGATGAATAGGAGGAGAAAATATTTGATGCACTGGCTCTCCGAGTATCTATTTTGATACTTCTGGTGGCTTGTACCTTGTTCTATGGAAAGTGTGAGGCAGGCAGGAACTTCTTTCTTTGTTTGATCGGATTGTAGGTTAATCATGTGTCTGGTGAAGGGGCAACCAAGACAGCCAATCCAGGGTTTGGAGCAACAGAAAGCAGCTGCGTATATAAACTGGATTAAAGTCCCCCGCTTTCAACCAACGATGGGTTCAATTCTACAACTGGCTTCATGGTCTAGTGGTATGATTCCTGCTTCGGGAAAACACCTGAAGTCCCCGATTCTTCAGAATCGCCTTTGCAGGAGGCCCCGGGTTCGAATCCCGGTGAAGCCCCATCTTTTTTTCTCTTTTTTCCTCATTTTTGCACTTTTGTTTGCCAACTTCGATTTCATTTAAACAAGCTCAGTAGTCTCTTGGCTAGACTCGCAGAATCGGGCAAGTATGGGCTTGGCTGCAGCTTGTCGCTATCCTGAGCTTCCTCATTTGTATGGCAGCGAGATTGGGCAAGCCGGACACTCGGTCGGGAAACTCTGGAGAACGAAAGCCCCGATCCGAGGAACTTGCACTGCCCAACCAACCCCGCTACCAGCTACAGGCCGCTAAACGACGACGTGATGCGCTGACAAACCGCTGAAACAACCGCCTGGAGACCCGAAGCTAGCGGCGAACTCTGAGTGAATACAGTTGCACCATGGCGCTGGAAGTTCCCTAGCGGGCGATGCGGCTCTTCCAAAGCCACGGAAAGCTCCAGTCGTCACCAGCACCAGCACCAGGCCCCTCCCTCTCTGGACTGGAGGTTATGTTCCCTCTGTCTGCTTGTGTTACAGGTTCCCTCCGCTTTTCCCCATCATCATCTGCCCTCTGGCCCGAGCCAAAGTCTCCAGACCGCAGCCCTTTTGCCTTTTTTGCCTCTCGTCCTTTGTTCCCACGGCCGACTCTATTGGCTCCGCCTCTCCGAAACAAGAAGCCGTATTGGGCCTCGGCGCATACTTGCTTGCCTTCTTTGTTCAACTGTGTGTGCGTGCGTATCTGTTCAGGAACATCTTTCCACCGACTTGATTATCTTCTCCCCTGTACCTCATATAACCCTCCCACTTTCCTCTCTCCTCGAGGCCTCGAACTCTTGACACGGTCCGGGCCTATCCTATCTATCTTGTTGCCTTGCCTGGTTGGCCCGCCGTCTGGCTGTTTGTTGGTCTGAACTTGCACTCATACTTGCTGGCAGCGTCGGAGCATTGCAGCCATTACGACGGACATCCCACGACGAGCGACGGCGATTTCCCTGACACGTACAAGCACGAGAACGAAAGCGAGAGCGAGCGCACAGCCGAATCCCATTGCCGTTCTTTTCGAGCACCGAATTGTGACAGGATACACTGCCGTCGGCCGATTGCGCAATATTCTACCGGGGACTTTGGATCTGATACCCTCGCCACGGCGCACCTCGTGACATCCTACACCTCCCGCGGAGTTTGCCGCCCATTCGTTCTCCAACCGTTCTCCTCCTAAGAATCAAACGCCTACTCCTTTCCCGCTCAGTCCAACCTCTTTTTTAATCGGCCCAGGAAAAATATGGGCAAATCGTGAGTGGGCCTTGCGCGAAACCCCCCTTAGAGTCTTGAAGTCGCATATTGCCAAGGGACATGTGCACGAGCGTTTACGACGAAAGAGGGGGAGGGGGAACAAGGGAGGCTAGCTGTCAGGATTCTGCTAGTCTCTGCCGGAGCTGATTGGCACAACACGCATTACCCTGGATCAGCACATGTTGATGGCTGACATTTTGCTCGCTTTCCAATTGTAGGCAGTCAAAGCTCTCACAGGAGCAGCTCGCCGAGCTCCAAAAGTCGACTCACTTTGATAAGAAGGAGCTTCAGCAATGGTACAAAGGTGAGCATCACCGAGATACAGGGGGTGGAGAAGTCTTGGAACCCCTCATTCCCTCAATTTCGTCTGCATTATGGCTTGTCACATGAAAAGTTCCTCGTCTGCTTGTTTCGCCATTTGATTGGGTTTTCGGTGAATTTTACCTTCTGACATTGGAAACTCTTGGATGCAGGTTTCCTGAAAGACTGCCCATCGGGCATGCTCTCCAAAGAGGAGTTTCAGAAGATCTACCGGCAATTTTTCCCATTCGGAGACCCGAGTTCGTTTGCCGATTATGTTTTCAACGTGTTCGACAGCGATAAGTCTGGTAGTATAGACTTTAAAGAATTCATCTGTGCGCTGAGTGTTACCAGCCGGGGCAAGATGGAAGACAAGCTGGACTGGGCGTTTCAACTGTACGACATCGACGGCGACGGCAAGATAAGTTACGACGAAATGCTCCAGATCGTCGAGGCAATCTACAAAATGGTATGGGACAAACAGCTTATCAACCCTCAAGCTATTATCACGTTGTCATATAGCTAACGCATGATAATCACAGGTTGGCTCCATGGTTAAGCTTCCCGAGGATGAAGACACACCCGAGAAGCGGGTTAAGAAGATCTTCCGAATGATGGACAAGGATGAGAACGGCAGCCTTGACATGGAAGAATTCAAAGAGGGAAGCAAACGGGACGAGACGATTGTTTCAGCACTGTCTTTATACGACGGGCTTGTGTAGATTGTTTTAACGTTGCTCTTGTTTCTTCTGTTGATGGTTCCTTTACTGTTTCTTTTTTTTTCGGGGGGTCCGGGCGACTGGGTACTTTATATGAAGGAAGCTCTGTTGTGTATGTTTTGCCCCTAAGAACAGCTTCTTGCTTTTTTTCTTGCCCCTATATAGTTTCCTCTTTCCTATAGCCCTGCTCTTCCTGATGACGTCTGGAGTGGTGGACAGGATAGTTTGTATCATGTTCTATGTGCAAAAGAGAGAACCGAAGGCGAAATATGGCTGTTGGGTATGATTTGACTCTTTTTTTCTTTTTCCCCTTTTCCCCTTTTCCTTTTTATGATGAAATTATGTGCTTATGTCTTGTTTGGCGTTTTGTATAGTTTGGTGTTCATAGCCTGCGAAACTGCTTGCAGTAACCATCATTAGTAAACTATTTCACCTTGAACTTGGGTCTTCAATCAGCCGTCCAAACTGCTTCTTTGTCATGATTATAAATTAGCAGTAGTCCAACTGTTGCCGATGGATCCGTATTGGGCAGGTTTTCAGTGCCAATAATAGGTTATTATAAGGATCTGACTGCAGCGTAGACTCTATCATTCGATTTGTGAGCAGATGTGTCAAGTGGGTCGTTTGGCGTGCCTTGACTTACCCTATACGGCGACGGGCTCTTTCTGGGGCCGTTTTTGAGGTATAATCACGACCGACGATTGCTTCGTTTGACACTTTGGCGTGTGTGCGTACATATGTGCTTTTATGAGTTTTAGCGCAGCGTTTGACGGGGTTTGTTTTCTATTCGCTGCTCTTTTTTTCTCTTATTGTTTTATACAAGCTAGGCTTTGGTGATATATAAACGACAAAGAAAGAAGTTATTTTCATAAATTAATCCATGGCTAACCCTCTTGAGCAACTCATCTCCCAGCTCGAGGATGAAATCCAGGATCCTGAGGAAGGTAAGCCATCACGTGTATTCTTTTACACCGCCCGCTCAGAAAGTCATGTTATATCTTCACACCATCTTCTTCTCTTTGCTAACTTTTTGCCAACCTCCCATCTTAGAAACATTCCTCCTCTATGCCAACGACATCCCATCTCAAGGCCTAGGCTTCATCGATTCCCACGCCTCAGTCCTGGAACTCCAACTCAGCGGGAGAGACATTACCATTCATCAATCTCCCGGCGTGTTGGCATCAAGTCGTAAAGGCGGTACCACAGGAGCAGGTCAGTTCTATTCACCTCTCCCCCAGTACCTTGCCAAAGATGCAGGCACCCTCATGCTTTTATGTGACAATGTGCAACTAACACGACAAACAAGTCCTTTGGAAAATCACACCTGCGTTTGCAGAATGGCTCGCTTCCCCTTCAAACCCGCTCTTCCGCACCGTTCTCACACCATCATGCTCCATCATCGAGCTCGGATGCGGAATCTCGCCTCTCAACGCTCTCACGCTCTCCCCCAAAGTCTCACGATACATCCTCACAGACCAGCCTTACGTTCAAAAACTCGTCCTGCAGAACCTCGCTGAAAACCAACCGTCATCATCATCGAAATCCCACACCGGAAAATCCAAGAGGGGCGCCACCAAATCTTCGTCTTCAAGCCCCCTAAACGCCGGAGCAGATATCCACTTCCAAGTGCTCGACTGGGAAACGTCCCAAGTAACGCCTTCGCTGACGAATTCTCCCTCGGTGTCTTCTTTTGACGCTATTATTTCTTGCGACTGTGTCTTTAATTACGCCTTGATACAGCCTTTTATACAGACCTGTGTCGATATATGCAAGTTACGCCAGATGGACGGTAATCAAGCTCTTCCAACTTTATGTATCGTCGCACAGCAATTACGCAACGACGACGTCTTCAACAGTTGGCTGGTGGCTTTTAAAGAGCACTTTCGGGTGTGGAGGATGCCTGGAGGGATGATGCCGGCAGAGCTCCGCCCCGAAGCTGGATTTGTTGTCCACATTGGAATCCTCAAAGACTCTTTGTGATGTCTGACTGTATTATCGGAGTCATTATCAATATTTGCACGATTACTGACAAACACAATGAATCACGTTTTCAACCAAAGAAGCTGCGTAAAGTTCTTTTCTTCGTATACGTGCGCACATACGACGCGATTCCCTTTTGATTCATGGCCATCGGCCAACTATGGCAAGCTACCTATAAGCTATACCCACTAGTTTTCATCCCTTTGTCTTATCAACCCGCACTGGGCTATTTAATGATAGACTCGGCGTAATTATTCGTCTTTGAAAAGTCATAAAAGAACGAAAGATAACAAGACAGATTACAAGGAGACGTTAGAAAGCAAACCACCACCAAACACCCAAACTACCACTCCAGAGGCTCCTTCTTCTCCTGGCCACGATTTGTCTTGGGCACGGGCACAGCCTTGGCCGCCAGTCTGCCGTCCTTGCCTCGCTTCAGGTAGGCAGTGCCATCCAGCCAAGGAGTGTGGGTGGTCCTCTTCTTCTCAAACTCGGCAATCTTGTCATTGAGCTGCATGGTCAGGCCAATGTCGTCAAGGCCGTTGACCAGGCAGTACTTTCGGAACTCCTCAACGTCAAAGGAGCAGATGGTTTCTCCAGCACCGTTCTTGATGAGCTGGTTTGGCAGGTCGATTTCCACTTCTCTTCCAGCTTGAGCTTCGGCAGCGATGGCATCGATGTCAGCCTTGTTGGAGATTTGGATGGGCAGCATGCCGTTCTTGAACATGTTGTTGTTGAAGATGTCGGCAAACGAAGGGGCAATGACGGCCTTGATGCCAAAGTCGAGCAGAGCCCAAGGGGCGTGCTCTCGAGATGAGCCACAACCAAAGTTTTCACCCGTGCAGACAAGAATCTTGGATTTCGTGTATGGCTCCTTGTTCAGAACAAAGTCAGGGTTCGCTGCACCATCGGGAAGATATCGCAGGTTGTGGAAGAGGGCTGATCCCAGACCAGTGCGCTTGATGGTCTTGAGGAACTGCTTGGGGATGATGGCATCAGTGTCGATGTTGGCCTGAGACATGGGCGCTGTGATTCCCTTCAGAGTGAGGAACTTGGGCATGCCGGTTGAATCACTCTTGGCTACCAGAGTATTTGTGTGGGGCTGGAGATCCAAGGGCTGGTCACCAATGGCCTCACGCTCATCAGAATCCTCGACACGCTCATCAACGTGAGCAGCCTCAGTGGGAGGGCTCGGGGAGATGCGAGCCTGAACATGAGGGCTGGCAGTGTACTCGGACAGCTTGCGGACATCAGTCAGCCTACCAGTAATGGCAGCAGCGGCAGCCATGACGGGGGACATGAGATGAGTTCGACCTTGGGCTCCCTGACGGCCCTCAAAGTTTCGGTTCGAGGTACTGGCGCAGCGCTCCTTGGGCGACAAGATGTCAGGGTTCATGCCGAGGCACATACTGCAGCCAGCCTCTCTCCACTCGAAACCGGCGTCAATGAAGACCTGGTCAATTCCCTCCGCCTCTGCCTGTGTCTTGACGAGGCCGGAGCCGGGGACGACCATGGCTCGCTTGATGTTGGCGGCAATCTTCTTGCCCTTGACAACGTGGGCAGCAGCACGCATATCCTCAATTCGGGAGTTGGTGCAAGAACCGATGAAGACCTTGTCGACCTGAATCTCCTCCATAGGAGTTCCAGCAGTGAGTCCCATGTACTCGAGCATTCTGCGGCCAGCAGCCTTCTTGGCCTCGGTGGGAAAAGTCTCGGGGTCGGGAACCTTGCCGGTGATTGGGACAACGTCCTCAGGGCTGGTGCCCCAGGTCAGGGTCGGGATGATGTCTTTGGCGTCAATGAAGACATCAATATCGTACTTGGCACCCTCATCGGAGGCCAGGGACTTCCAGTAGGCAACAGCTCTGTCCCACTCCTCGGATCCGTACTTGGGGGCCAAGGGTCGGCCCCTGAGGTACTCGAAAGTGTTCTCATCAGGGGCAACCATACCGGCGCGGGCACCACCCTCGATGGACATGTTGCAGATGGACATGCGAGCCTCCATGCTGAGGCCTCGGATGACGGAGCCGCAAAACTCAATGACGGCGCCAGTACCTCCAGCAGTGCCAATCTTGCCAATGACGTGCAGGACAATGTCCTTGGAGCTGACACCGGGAGCAAGCTCTCCGTCAACCTGGACGCGCATGTTCTTGCTACGCTTGGTAATCAGGCATTGAGTAGCCAGGACGTGCTCAACCTCACTGGTACCGATACCAAAGGCCAGGGAACCAAAGGCACCATGTGTGGAAGTATGGCTGTCACCGCAGACGACGGTGGTGCCGGGGAGAGTGAAGCCTTGCTCAGGTCCAATGACATGGACGATGCCCTGGCGCTTGTCACCCAGACCAAAATATGTCAGGCCAAAGTCCTTGACGTTTTCCTCGAGGGTAACGCATTGTACTCGAGAGTCATCTTCCTTGATGAAAGAGGCAATGTCCTTGATGCCTTTTCGAGATGTGGTAGGGACGTTCTATAAAGCCACAGCTTGAGTCAGCATCATCCCCTTTGCTCGGCTGCGACGGATACTTATAGGTGTGTACATACGTGATCAGTGGTGGCCAGAGTGCAGTCCGGTCTGCGGACCTGGCGGCCGGCGTTCTTGAGGCCCTCAAAGGCTTGCTGCAGGGACAATGTCAGTCTGACTCTTCAATCGGGAGGGCAGTAGTAATCTCGCTGGTTGGGCATACCGGTGATGTCACTTCATGGACCAAATGTCTGTCTGAACATGCCGCTCTGGTTAGCTCAAAGCTTCCAAAGCGCAAAGAAAACTAGGTGACGAACCGATATACAGCAAGATTGTGCCGTCGAGCTTCTCGTCAACGATATGGCTCGAGAAAACCTTGTCGTAAAGGGTCTGCGGGGTTGATACTGATACAGGCATTGTGTCGGAATCTGGAGAAGAGGATTGGAAATTGGGAGAAGAAAAAAGGAAGGGTGAGATTTGGAGAAAGGGCGGCCGAAATCACACACAAAGTGACGTTTTTCTAAGCCAAAGGAGGGGCACGGAAGCTGTGGAAAGGTGAAGCTGACAAGCAGCGATGGGAGCTTAAACCGAGCTCGAGATGTCGATATTTTTCAACCGCGTTCTGCAAAAATGCACAATCCACAATGTGCAGCGATTACAATGAAGCCGATAATGGAGAGGAATGAGAAGGGCGGGGGGCAGCAAGAGCAGCCAGCTGTCGCTTTATCTTTGAATTGATGAAGCCCAAATCGCAGCTCCCAAGTCCGATTCTTGCCCGGTGGCATGTCTCCGATGATCGGAGTGCGGCGCATTTGCCCCAGCTTTTGCCCCAGCTAACCAGAAGAACGGCACTTTTTTCTGCCTTTGGAAGCCGAACTGCCAGCCAGATGAAGCGGGCGATTGCTAAATGGATCGAGCTGGTTGGCTGCAAGGGATTACATAACGTGAGACTTGCATGCATTTCGACATGGGGCCGATCATGTTTGGTGTCCGCAGCTCGTGTCTGTGAAAGTGCGTGATTGCTTGCCCTGAATCCGTGTCATGCTGTTGTCTGATTTGGGGTCCCGTGGATCCATTCCATTACTACAAAATGGAGCACGGTTTACGGGTTTCGTTGCCCAAAGCGGATCCGCGTTGATGGAACGAGGTTAGTAATTGTGAAGCTATCAGGGTTTTTTGTTGATTACAGCCACCCTGTGGAGGTGGCTTGCTGTTGTGTTTCTTTGGCTGATGATGATGCTAGTATACAAAGGAGGCATACACGGCATCTGCCGAGATAGCGACTCATACAAGGTCCAATATATTGTGTATAGGGAGCCACATGACGGCGATAGTTTTGCAGTGCAAGAGCGACAACATTAATTTGACACTGAAAAGTCCCTGGCTATCGGGAAATGGCGTCCCAGGGACATTTTCCATCACGAGATTCGGCCATGGCTAGACCAGTGCTAAGGCTGCCTGCCTCGAGCATCAGGTTCAGCCAGCTATGTGCCCAAACAATAGAGTTCAACAGCATTAAGGTTCACTTGTACAGCTGTTGTCTTTACATGAACAGAAGTCAAAATGGGTTGTTGACATATTAAATGCGTTGATGGTCCTGCCGAGGCATCAAGCAACACTGCGTCTACAAAGTCCATCACCTTCGCCCCGACATACGAACGCAGCAAGTCTGTTCTCACAATCAGTAATATTCCCTAGCTGCAGCTACTACTTCCTATATACCTCGAACACTAACAATAAACAAGAAATGTCGACAAGACCACGTCAATCGCGCCCCTGCTGGTCGGTGACTTACGTCACCACACTCCGCGAGCAGGGAAATAAGTCGAAATATCGCCCAGTCCCGATTCACGAAGCTCAGAGGGTATTCAGAACCGTTGCGAAGATTGCTTCAGGATCGAAAACAGCACCACGTTATAACAGCCAAAAGAAACAGAGCTATCGGCAGCGTAAGAGACATTCAAAACGGAATAGCCGGCAGTCACAACAGAAGTACCCGATGGTCATGTTAGGGTATGTGACGATACGGATCTGGCCGTGGCGATGGCAATGATGACGACGGCTTGCGGGGGTCCTAAGCAGCCGCAGTTGCATGCTAAGATGATGTTTACATGGAAGAAGGACAAGCATCTTCCGCTGGTTAAGCTACCGATACGTGGAGAGAAGATTTTCCATTTACCAATGAAGCGTAAAAGGGATGATCCTTTCACTGACGAAAGTCCTCGAACGATCACTTCGTGTCAACCTTAGAGTGTGTCCAACGAATCCTAGGATGCGACCCGTCAAGTGATGGAGTAGTGGGAGGCAGGGGGAGCCTTGAAGACGATGATGGCGAGGGCGTTACTTCAAAGGGGGTCATAACCCGGAGGATGGACGATGTAACGTGCTACTACTGCAAATAATATAGTGCATTAATAAAGAAGTGTTTCTTGACTGGTTGATAATCCGCCGTGGCGTGTGGAAATGTGATATACTTCATGTAAATCCCTAGAGGATGCCAAATTCAGCATCTGTAATATGCCCACCACAGCCTCGTTCGGACAGCAATACATCTCGTTACGTACTGATTGGTTCGCTTAAAGCCATTTCCCTTGTCTTTTCACATATTGTTGCTCCACACCTCCACCGTCCCCCCTAAAATGAGAGCTGATCTACGAGCCAACATCCCATGATACAGTGTTGCAAGGAAATCACATTAACACAGCACAAATCATAAACCATAATAGTACTCCGTAACTATACTCGAATCACCGCCATGGCTAAGAAAAATGCCCTCGCTGCTTCTCCGGCCGAAACTACCCCGAACCACCACCCTAGACGAATCCAAGCAATCTGTACAGCCTCCATATGCCTTTCAACCAGCATATCGACCACACAAGCCCATCTCCAAGCTCAGATCGCCGATTCATCATCCACAAACTCCAGCAGCCAGGCCATGAACATGACAATCCTCGTCCCCTGGACAACCACCACATACACCAGAGCCGCAGCCGGTACTGTGAGTGCTATCAACAGAAGGGCCTCCCACCAAGGCATTGGTCCGTCATGCGCGACTCCCATCGTTCGTGGATCGAGTATTGGCCATATAGTCGCCCAGTATAGCCGGATCCAAATCTTCAGATATCGCAGGAATTGTTGCAACGGAGTGAGCTCTTCGCCCTCCTCATCCTCTAATTCATTATGACCGTTTCCTTCTGGCTTTGCATTCGGAACCTTGGCTTCATCAGTGTTGGCCTCCTTTGGCAAAAGACTTTCGGTGCCGTCTTCGTCTTGGTGCTCTTGGTAGACTCGATGCTCCTCTGGGGGGTTGTGTATCTGCGTTTGGTGATCTACTGGATTTGCCTCTTTCTCCGTTACCAACTGTTGCATTTCTTGATTCGCCGCTGATGGGTTCTTGCATTGGTTCATATCCTGCAACATCTGGCCCTGTGTAAATGTTGATTTGCGCAACGAGTCGTCTTCCGGAGCTGGCATCGTAGCCTTCGCTGTACGTCTGTCTTGCCAGTGGCCCTCTGCCAGCTGCATCTTGTGAGCCTCCAGCCCCAGAGATGTAGTGCCTGCTTGTGGTTCGCCTCCCATTTCGGCCTCTGCTGATGAGGTTGGATTCTGCTTGGAGCTCATGGACGGGTCTGAATGAAACCCGTCCAAGCTGTTCTCGAACGAGGTCACTGCCAGCGCACTGTAAATCGATTCGTCTTGTTGAGTTGGGCTCAGTGGAAGGAGAAAGTCTGGGTTCATCGACCCGTCCGGGAGAAAGGCGGAGTGAAACGTTTGGTGGTTGTAGCCAGTAATGGTGATGGTGGGTATGCTGGCAGATTCCACGATCTCGGGGGCTTGGTACCTGATTTCGCGCAAGACGTTGCTCGTCTGCTCGTGTTCCATCACGGGTTGGTTGTGAGAGTGATGAGGTTGCTCCAGCCGCTGCTTGTCCACCTTTGCTACCCCCTCTTTCAATTGTAGCATGTCCCGTTCTATTGCCATCTTGGTGAGCCGTCGATGCCGGTGGCGGGAGCCTGCAGGACGCCTCATCGTGAGTGACTCTCGCTGCAGCGGGCCGGCTGATGCTTGTGCTTTCATGCGGGATAGCCTCAGATGGTCGTCCCATCGCTTTCTCATGTCCCTTGAACGAATGCGACTCTCTGTAGATCGTGGCATGGGCATTGCCTGCAACGGGCTTCCTTCGCGACGGGTCAAACGAGGTGGCTCTCTGAACATGCTCGGGTGCAAATCTAGGCTGGATGGTGCCATGCTCATCATTCCTGGGAGACTGAACCGGCGCTCGAATCCCCGGCCAAAAGCTGGGGTCGACTGGGTAAGGTGACTTGCCGAAAGGGTGGCCTTGCTCGTCTCCGTGCACGATTTCTTGACGTCCCTTTCGGCTTCCATGTCTAAAAAAGACTTGTCTTCGGATGGAGTTGTTGGGCTGGAACTCATTTGGGAGCCAGAGTCGTCAAGGGCTGATCCGCCCTCAAGAAATTCCTAAGGTACGAGAGGCGGATTCGCAAGGCTTTGCCGACGAGGAGTTCGAACGACTGTAGAATGGGATGAAGAGCGGGTTGGGGGAGTTACCGGTGGCGATGAAGTAGCGATGTAGTTGTCAGATGCATCGACTTCGGGAGGATGGGCATGAGAGGAATCGATATCCAGCGGCGGTTCGCCAGTGGAAATTGCTGTTGGTTGCTGGATCGCCTGGGGGAGATGTTGAACGTGAGAAGGTCTCCCTATAAGCTTGCAGTGTCAGCAGGTGTTTTATATGTGTGATTGCAGCTGGAAATGATGTGAAGTGAAGTGAGGTGGAAATGAAGTGAAGTGGAAGTGAAGAGAAAGTGAAGACCCACGAGAACTCAGAGATACACTTTTCAAAGACTGAGCAATGGGGCTCAAGTCTGGCTCCTGCAGCGAAGACTGTCCCCGTCTCATCCATCTGACGGCTTTGTTCAGCTCTCTCACTTTTTTCTTCCCCCTCAGTGACCTGGCAACCCTATGATCCTCGTGCTCAATACCTGCATCGTCTCTACTGGGCGAGTCTCTTGACTTGTGGCTCTTCAAGACATTATGCCATGTCCTCAAGATGCGGCGTGGCGTCTCGTGATGACTTACTGGGCTTCCAGCACTGCTACCAGAGGGACTCATAACGTCTAGCTCTCCAGTATGGGGATTGACGCCTTGCACGCCGAGATAATCGCCACTCTCTCTTAAGCTCCGTCGTTCACGCTGCCGAGCCTTGCTTCTCGCTCGTCGAAGTAAATCTTGTCCGAGAGGCTGTTTCCCTTCTGCTGCAGTCTCTGTTTGTATACCCAAGCTGCTCCTCCTTTGATCGTTGCTTTGGTCATAGTTTCTCTGCAAAACCCCTCCTACTTTTGTCACAGAAATCTGCTCTTCAGAGCCATTATGAGGGCTCCAACTCCAGCTTCTGTCCGGCAGAACATCCTTGGGCGGCGATGAGGGCTTCGAGGTAACAGGCACAACACTCAGTGGCTGTTCAGGCAAATCACTGGGTTGATCTCTTGAGATATCCCTCGGCACGTTCCAGCGAGTGATATGGCTCGAGTCCACCGAAATATCCCCAACGCTATACTGGCTATCCGTCATGCGCCGTCGAGGCCGTTGCTTCCCTTCCTTTTCCTTTTGCTCCCAGTATCCCTGTTCTCTGCTGGTGCCGCCGCGTTCAGGTCGCTGACTGGGAAACATGTTCTTCACCCACCCTCTAAGAGAGGTAGACCGTCGACGCTCCGTCTGTGCACTTGTGAGGGTATCCTGTGGTGCACCTGTGATGGTACGCTGCTGTTCCTTAGGAGCAGGAGGAAGAAGTGCCTGAGGCCCAGAAGAAGCCTGCCCAAGAGCAGCATCCGACACCTTGGGCGGCAAGAAATACGCCATCCTGACGAGGCGCAGAGTGAGCGCAGCGAGAAGCGTAACCGAGATCAAAGGAGCCACCGGCCTCCGGATCCATGTGTCGACAACGTATCGATATATACGCGGGATCGCCCCGAGGGCATCATCGCTGCTCGACCAGGGTCGAAGAAAGCTGAAGGCGGTAAAGATGTATTGCGTGAGTGTCATTGTGCAAAGTTGAAAAAGTCATAATGTTGGGCATCAAATTATATATTCTGGGGGGCTACGCAGTAAAGTGATGCTAAGAGATGGGCATTCGTGCTTGCGTGTTGTAGTAAATTCACGTCTCAGGTAGGAACAGGTGACTGTTTGGAACCAAATCATAAACTCAATCTTTCATGACACCCGAAGTTGATTAATCGAGCCGATGCCTAGTAAATTCATTATGCCTCCCAAGAAAAAAGCAAGCGATATCTCATACAACATTAAGATGTTCCTCCTCTGCCCAAAACCAAGCCGTATATGAAGAGTATACGAGTTCCCAGAAGCCTCCACCAAACCCCAAAGCCACATAAAGCAATAAACCCAACGCCAAAGTCATGCTGTGCCGTGCTGAATCCAAGCACGGAGAATATTACCATTTAGTTTCAAATAATACATTCCACCGCATAAATGTTGCAATCCGCCATCTTGACGGCCGTCATGAGCGTAATCGAATTTTGGCAACACGGGAGAAGGCTACCACCTAGTTGGCCTGTCTTGCTGTGCCGCCCTATTTCTTGTTGCCCCTTGGTAAGGATTTGATACGCCTCTGCTGAGGGCGCTCGCCGACCGCTGTGCATCGGCGAGTTTGGAGGAAAACCGCTGCTGCTCTAGGGCCGCCATCTCTCGTGAGTTTCGGGGCGAGGCAGGTTCGTTAAAGTTGTTGATGCCCATAGTTTTCTTAAGAGGCGACTTGTCATGATCGTAGATGCCCATATTGCCTCCATAATTGGTGGTGTTTGCGGATGTGGCCGAGAGTGGCATAGGAGCCGTGGCCGCAGCTGAAATTGGAGCGGTAGGCTTATCAGCCATCATGTGTTGCCTAAACGTAGAAGTAGAGCGAGGTTGGATCATGTTGGTGGGGGTGCTTTCTGAGCGAATCGGGGCATAAGTGCCGAACGTCTGTGCCTTCATGAAGTTGCTGCGACCGGTAGACATAGAATCGTCGTAATCGGTAGAAGACGTAGCTCGCGTGGCGTAGGACTTTCTAATCAGTGTTGTCGGTGTGCCAACTTGGACAAATCCACGGCCCTTGGGAGAGTGTTCGGCGGCAACCTGGGTACCAACATCTCTGACGACGGGGTGGAGTCGAGGATGAACAAATTTGGTGTTGTACTCGTTCATGACCTCCTTTTGGATGATGGCGTTGTCCTTTGCCTGCTGCGCGAACCGCGAAGTGAGGAGAAGCATCTGTCCAGATAGCACCACCTGCATGACGATGGTGTTGAACACAGTGACACTAGGCTGGGGATCCAGTGGTGCCAGAGGTAGAAAGAGGAGGTAGGCCAAAACGTGTCCCGGGCTGAACAAGCAAACAAGTCTCAAGGATATGGGCAGAGGGTCCCAGACCGCGAGTTCCCACACATCTCGTCTCTTATCCGGATGTGCTCGAGACTCGGCAGAACCAGCGGCGAGTCTGTCGGCAAAGTATTGAAGCGGTGAGGATGTCGTCGCGGGAGACGACTGGACCTGGACTCGTCGCGCAGAGGGTGTCGATGGGGCTTGGTCGATGTTGGCCTCAAATAGTCGGTATTTTCGCGTTCGCGTGAAGGCGTAAGCCGCGTTAACGAAGGAAAAGAGCGCGAAGCCCCAGACAACGGGGTAAGTCTTGGTAAAGAATGTTAGTTTATCCAGCGCGACACCATGCGATGGCTTCATCGAGGACTTACCACATAGGAAAGCAGCGAAGGCTTGCCGTCGTCGCCAAAAATGTCGTCGTCCGACCACTCATACGACGACCCAAAATTTGCGCGCGCCAGCAGAAAGACAAAGTTCATGCCCAAGCCGAGCTGCGTGCCCGCCAGCTTCGAGTCCCAGTCCCTTGTCTCCATCTCTTCCGAGAGCCACAAGAGAAAGTCCATGGGATTCAGCAGGGACGTGATGCGCTCCCAGAGCGGTCTCCGCCGCACGAGTCGAGGCATCTTCGCGGGGTGTGATTTGGAAGGTTTCGCACGGTCAATTAATAAGAGGCGACAGAAACCTTGCTATTAAATCGCACCGTGAAAGAAAAGAAGAATGGCCACGGGTAGTGGTTGGAGAGGAAGAAGAAACAAAGAGTTGTCGGACTGGCGGCGAATTTGTTTACTTTGGCGGTCCTAGGTTTTCCCACTGCGAAATTTCCGCCTGGAGCCTAGCGCCCTTGCTTGCTGGAAGCACAAGTCCACCGCCCAGTGACATTTGGATAGATACATTGCTGCAAAGTACCTAGATCTCGCAAAGACCATCTTCAAAAACGAGGTAGCAACAGTTCAAGCACTCGCGTAGGCTGCGTAGAAAGAGAATTAGAGAGATAAAATTTGTTCTGGGATCATTGATGGAACTCTAGATATAGGAATTCTTAATTTTGCTTTACTACGAAAACAATCAATGGTCTTTATCAAGCTAGAGATGATGGCCCAGCCAAGCACAGCAGAATGCCTCCTTCGGTGCTACTTGTGCCTCCGGCAATACCTCACTCCAAAGTATACATCTCTCAGCCGCTCCAACGCGGGGCCATCCAGCAACCACCTGAAAGGCAACTAAACTTATAGCAGTCGCCAAAGCTTCATCAAACCCCCAACACCTCTCCCATCTACCACCCCTTAGAATCGCCATTGTCCGCCCTCGCAATGGCTTCTAACGCCGACTTCAAAGACCGGCAGTTCCTCGCCGTCATCGGCGACGAGGCAAGTTCGCTCCCCAGGATAAAACTGCGCGCAGATGAGTCTCGCATCCTGCTAACGCAAACACATAGGACTCTGTAACGGGCCTCTTGCTCGCGGGCATCGGCGTGAGTTGCACCTGGAGGACATACAGACCCCTTGGCCCCCCAAGATTATAATGGCAGCGCTGCCACCGATAGAGTTGGACGTCTTCTCACACAGTCTATAGCACATCACCGCCGGCGCCGATGCGCAGAAAAACTTCCTTGTCGTCGACAGCAAGACAGAGACCGCAGCCATCGAATCTGCCTTTGAGAGCTTTACCGAGAGAAAAGACATTGGAATCGTCTTGATCAACCAACATGTTAGTTTGTCCCGAGGCAGAAATTGCGGTGCTTGTCGTGGAACAAAGCGTACTGATAGCGAGAGGACTAGGTTGCCGACCGGATACGACACCGAGTCGATACCCACACCGCTGCCTTCCCCACGGTCCTCGAGATTCCAAGCAAAGATCATCCTTATGATCCCGAGAAGGACAGTGTTCTGAGACGGGTGCGTCGTCTGTTTGGAGAGTGAACGTTTCATCTTGTACGCAGAGCCATATTATTAGAAGAGATGGGGAAGTGTGCGGAGCGTCAATGGAGGACCCCAATGCCACATGACGAGTATATAATATCAATACGATCATCAAGAGCCAAGTGTATACTGGTTTATCAGGATTATTACGCGTGCTTTCCTCTAGTAGGAGCAAAAAGAGCGCCGCAATGATGTGCCTATGAACCATATCGGAATATCACCCAAGGAGTACAGCAATCTCGCCCAGAAGAAGCCAACGCAGCCGTAGCAATGCCATTTAGGAAAATAAAAAACACCCAGCAGTCAAAAGAAAAAGAAAAACAGAATCCGAATCATCTCCACCGTTGCCAGTTGCCCGTAATCATTCTCGTAGCATAAAGCAGAAATTACAATTCCTCAGTGTTCTCGAAGGAGCCCAGGCTTGGTCGAGGGAAGTTAACGGTCGCCTTCAAGCAGGTGATCTTCTCGTCATCGGCGGAGTAGACGTCGGCAAGGACGCTGTAGGTTCCCTATTGACATGTGTAAGCATGAAAGATGATGGCTGATGGGTTTGGAGAGGAGGCTTACCGGAGGAATGGCAGAGGGGAGATCGACGCTCTTGGTGATGGTCATCTGTCCGTTCTCAAGGGGGCAGGAAAGGTCGACATTGTCAAGCTGCTCGCACAGGTCTGCAGTTGTGGAGAGAAGCTGAATGAGGCCGTACTTGACAGTGACCTTGACGTATGCACCCGGAGTGATGGTCTTCTTGACTTCACCAGAGGCCGTGATGAGGAGTGCCTTGCCACTATAGAGAAATCATTAGCCCAAGTCAAGAGGGAAGAATTTTGTCGGGGAAGATTCTTACGGCTTGGGGGGGTTAGGAGCCAAGTCGACTTTCTTGATCTCAATGAGGTCGTCGTCACGGTCGGCGCTGCAGTACTCGATGGGGTTTTCTCCAGGGACCTTGAGAGAAGCGTCGAGTGCGGAGGCCGAATCGCCCCAGATGGCGAGGGCCGTGGCCGGAGCGGCGAGGCAGGCAGCCAGATAGGCGACGGTGGTAGAGAAACGCATCGTTACGGACGTTGGATAACTCTGTAGTTTAGGATATGATGGTTAGAGAAGAGGATGAAGAGCGACGAAGAAGAGATGGAGATACCGACTCGAGAATGGAGGCGAAAGGCAACACTGGATGAGATAATAGATGATAAAGGTAGAGGTGAGGCTGGCGCTGCTTGCCGTCGTACTGGTTGAGCGGCTGTATGGAATATGGGGCATGTACAGTGACGCCGACGGCAAACCACTAACGTCACGGGACGGTCTGCTGCCGTGCTGCGTCTCAGCGGTGGTTGGATGCGTCATGAGACCCGTCCGGGGCTACGATTGGCCAGGACGCAGAGAAAGGCTCCGCTTCCATGGCAGAACAGATAACGCTGGGGTAGCGCTGATACTCCTTGCATTCGCTCCGCCCGGTACAGGTACATGTCCTGCGCTGGTAGAATACGGCGTATCCGTGTGCTGCACAATGAGCGCAAGTACAATGGGGAGACACTTTAGGAGCAGCAGTAGCGCCCTTGGCTTATGTGGTGCCATCAATCTTAGTAACAAAGACAAAGAGCAGCGGAAGGCAACTGACTGTGCTGCTGTACCGTATTGATTGCGGCCGTCTTTCCATTCACAGATTATCGTGCCTTTACATCTACGAACCAGCCAAACGAGGCTAGACTTCCTTTTCTTCGAATCGCCATCTCTTCCTCTTCTTCACAGATGAGCAGGTGCTGCTACGCTCCCTCGCTTTTTGCTTCACCGTCTCTTTTTCCTGGCATTTCGCCCCCTTCAACCTGCGGCACGGCGTTTGCATGAGGCGTTTGGCAAGCGAAGGGAGCCTGAGTTGATTCGCTCTAGTCGTTTCTGCCTCAGGCATCTCCATCCAGGCAGCATTGTGGGGCGATGGCGCACGGACCAGCCCATCTTCTATAAAACAATCTCGCCGCTGCTCGCCTTTTAGTTCTCTTTTCTTCTTTTCTTCTTCATACTTACCTTGTTTCAGCACTTTGTCCGCGATCAAGAAGGCGGAGTGCTAGTGTGGGAGGCCTGCATTGCACATCGCGGAGTCGTCCCGCGCTCAATTGTCCTTCGGGGCCATTGGAGGCGGAATTTTTGATTTTACACATTTTGTGCTTTCATTGTGAGCGCAGGCTTGGACTGTGGCACGAAGAAGGCTGGTGGACAGAGAGCGGCGGAGGATAGCAGAGCGTAGTGCGAGAGGGAAATGGGGCCACGACGTCTTGTATGGGATAGGATTGCGTAGGATGGGGGTCAGAGTTGAACAGTCGGGAGGGAGCACAAGGATTAGAACAGTTGGCACCAACGATCATCATTTCACTCACTACAACACGACGTAATTTTGAAAGGTTTCTAATGGGGCAACGCTTCGTGCTACTCTGTCTCGGCTGTAGGCGGTGCGACGTAGGCTTACGACGCTGACCAAGTAACATTTGGGACCAAATTGCAGTTGAGTGCAACGGAGTCCCTGCTTGGTGGTGCTACATTAGATTAGGAAACAAGTGTCACAAGCTCAACGCCCGGCGACAGGTGGAAATTCAACAAAAAAGAAAGAAAGAATCGAGTCAATCAAAACAAAACAAAAACAAAAACAAAACACGACCAGTCGTATGCACACTAGCTGCTGAAACCTACAGCAGTAGCTAGCCAGCCAAGGTTTTATCGTACTCTTGCGCCGACAGCCTCATTGGCTAGCTCACAAGCCCCCCCAGTTCGCACTCCAAGGATGAAGCGACGCGATTCGCGCGCCGCGCAGAGCACAGGTCCGTTATTGTGACTGGCCAATCAGGAGGCTGTGATGGCAGGGCTATTTGCTGGGATGACGAGCGCAAGGCTTGACTAGAGGCTGGAGACTGGCGAATGAGGCGGCGGTGCTGTTTCGGTGGTGCAGGCATATTCCCCGCTTGGTTTTTTCTGACTGTGCCAAAGTTGGTGCAGCGACTCTTTTTCTGCTGGTACGAGTACGAGCGGGTGGTGTGAGTTGGCTTTCGGGGTGTGTGTCCGTAGCCTTTACTCCGATGGTCAATACGAGTACATTGCATTGCTTGGTAGACAAGGGAGCGAACAACGTACGCCCTGTTGGTGCCGTATTAAGTGAAAATGAGGTGCGTGTCTGGGAGACGAAAGACGTGAATCATTGACGTTTATCCCGTCGTGCGGCGAGAGCTGGATTCAAATTCTCGCACCCGGAGGAGACGCATGCAGGTCTGCACGGAGCTGGCTGGTGTCTCCGTACCCCTTTCAAACCCGCCGGTACAGGTACATGTACTCGTACTTTGCAGACATCGCACTCGCACGCAACAATGCACCAGCAGAGCAAATGTAATTAATTAGCCTACAAGTTACTGCGTCGGATGAGAAAGATGCAGCCAAATAGAGCAGCTGCCGGCATGGCCATCTTTCCTCCTGTCACGTCCATCCACTCAAATCTTATCCTGTCCCGACGTGCATATTAATTTCAATTTCCCGCCTCATATTGATTGGGTCGTACTCCGTACGTGGTAGGCTCAAAGTGGTAAAATTCACACCGGCCTTGCTCACTGCAACCACACCATCCACACAGTACAGTACGGAAGCAGTCGACAGTGGCCAACCCTGGATCACCAGTGACGCCACTGAGGGCTTGCTCTGCTTCTATTCTTGTAGGGCATAGGGGCATGTGCCTGAACAACACAGCGGCTGGGCGCTAAACCCTGAGGCTTTGGCTCCCAGTTTCGCATCAAAGAGAATTCGAAACCATCAAATGGAGCCTTTTTCCTAGAAACTCGTCTGCAAGGTCAAGATCGCTCACTTGTTACTGAGTTTGTCGAGAAAGAAGCAAACCATCAAAGCTGTCCAACTGCAAGAAATCATCACTTCTATACGTTCACATATTACCTTCGTCCCTGCGACTCTCTCCATCGTCTTCTTTCTTATTGCTCTGCGTCTTACGAGTACTATTTCGGCTCTCTCTATTACCTATGCGACTGGCTCCTGCCTCAGCCCATAGCACCTCAGGCAACATGGCCGTCATGAGCAGGATGGGCAGGCTTCTCTCGCCAAGCTGCGGCTGAATCCTGCTATACACCGTCCACAGAACCTCTCCAGTCAGAGCATCAACATCTCCTTCCGACATGACATGACATCAAATGATATCCATGATATGCCAGATCGACGGAGCACCACAAATGGCGGGTAAGTTGCTTCTCTTCTCTCCTCTTCTCCCCCCTTCTCTTTCTCTGCGCTGCTCTTCTCTTCTCTCGATGCTGTGTGGACGCAAGATTATTCATGCGCCATGGATCATTTACCCATCAAATCGTCCGGCCCCCCTTGGCCATCTCACATGCCGACTGACTCCCTATTACAAGCTCAAGCTCTCATACTGCATTACACTGCCCGCCCATCCAGAGGCTCTCGCATATCATTACCCACCCGCGGCTTTACCCACCCAAAACCTTACAGACCGCACTCGCATCTACACACGCATACAAGCCTGCGCACACTCTTTTCCTCCCGTCCTCTGTCTTCGGTGCAGCAGCCCCTTCCCCTCTCTCTCGCATCCGTCTTCCGCTGCCCGTTCTCGACCTTCTTCTCTCCCCTCGTCAGCGTTTCTCCTGCTTGACTGCATCACCTCCTCCCGCACCCTACCTCGGCCTTTTGTACCTTTGTACCCTGCCCAGCCCAGCCCCGAGCCTGATGGCTGGCAATGGATCTTGCAGTGGTGCAATGCCGCCGCCAGACAGTCGCCGCCTCAGGCAGCAACCAGCGCTGCGAGCGGTCGTACTACTGCCCTCCAGGCACTAGCACCGAATACCTGCCGACCTGCCACCACTACATGCGCACCCCCCGTCTCGCCCTCTTTTTTTTGCTCGCACGCTCACCACTGTGCCAGCCGCGAGGTACTCGGCGCTCCGTGCAAGTACTCGGTACTCGTACGCCCACGGCCCCAGTGCATGGATGGGCCTTGGACGCACACTAAGACGTCGCTATCCCACCGCCCATTCGCCGTTGGGCTTAGCGCCTGTTGCCTCTGTCGCCTGGCGCTGAGATGAGTGCCGCCCTCTCTGCAAGTTTCTTTTCGCAGTTCAGTTCTGCACTGGTTCTGCAGGATGGATGAGCACCAGCACCAGCCCAGCACCAGCGCTCCGTGCTAGTGCTACGAGTACTGTACTGGTACGATACGGGCACTGCTACAGTACAGCGTGCACCAAGGCACTGCTGCTGCTCCCGTAGTGCCGTGTGCTCGTACCCCCTCAGTCTCTCGCTCGCTGCCCTTCTGGACTCTCTCCTCTCTTCTGGTCTGGGTCCCGGAATCCTCGACACCGGATTGGACTGTGCCGCTACGGGCTGGGCTGGGCTTGGACTTGCACTGGCGACGCTGCATGATTGGACACCCTGGCCGGTACGTACCTCGAGGGTGCCGCCGCACTCGTTCTCGCGCTGCAGCAAAGACACCCTCTCTGTTTCGTCGCTCCTCCCCATCCTCCTTCTCCTCCTCCATCCCCGTTGCCGGCCGTTGACGAATCTTTTGCCTCAGGAGCCCGATCAATCCAGAGACGCCCGCCGACTTCAGCTGCTGCCGCCTGGCCTTGTCATCTTGCCTTGTCCTCCTTTTATTTCCCACGGACGCTTTTTTTTGCCCCCTTCATCCCACTCTCTCGTGGACCAGCCTGCTTCTCACCTTTTCCTCGACCAACAATCCAGTCGCCTCCCGCCCGATCGTGTTCGAATTTTTACGACCCAGGCGAGAAACATTCGACGCCCTTCAGTGTCCAGCCATCGCCCTCGACGCGTATGAAAACCCCCATAGCTGTGCTCGTGATTCTCTCCTCCTCTTCAACCCCGTCGACCATTTTTTTCTTCGCTCCTACTGACGGCTGTTGACGACTAGGCCTCTGCCCTTAAGTCAATCCCCAAATCACGACGCTTCAAGTGCCCAGACGCCGCCTGCCGCCTGTCCAAGACTCGACTGCGCCATCGTTTCCGCTCCGGCGTATGACGCGGCTGGTCGCGATCCTCGACAGCTCGACGCTCCAGCTCATTCATCCGGCGCGCGTCTTGATCGGCGCCGTCATGCTCTCAAGACCGCGACAATAATCAATCCACGCATCCCTTGCGACATCGACTACCCAGCGTGGTCCTCCTTTGGACTATGACAGACAAGCCAGCTCCGCTGTCGACGCAAGCAGCAGTTTCCACCCAGGCCAACCACATCGCGCTCGTTGGCCCGACCGGCCCCGACGATGTCGCCCACAAGATTGAGGCGCCAGAGGAAGAGCCCTACACAATCAAGTGTATCTGCAATTTCTCTGACGACGACGGAAACACAATATACTGCGAGACCTGCGACACATGGCAGCACATTGATTGCTTCTATCCCGAGAATCGGGAAGAGGCCATCCGAGAGGACTTTGCTCACTCGTGTGCCGACTGCAAGCCCCGACCGCTGAATCGACAAAAGGCGATCGAGCGCACTCTACGGCTCAGGAATACCATCCTAGAGCCAGAGAGCATCGACAAAAAATCCACCAAGCGACCCCCTTCCAAGAGCCACAAGAAGAAAACCAAGCCCAGCGAAGTTCTTCTCAACGGTATCCACGCGGCTTCAGAAGGCGGCAAGCACGGCCACAACGGTGACCATCACCCTCCTCCAGCCAAGAAATCAAAAACCTCCCACCGACCCTCCCTGTCCGTTAGCTCCCAGCCTTCCAAGCGAAGCCCTTCATATGGGAACAACCGGGCGAATCCTACGCACCCTCCGAGTCCCGCCACGACTCCTCCCGACCTCCCCGACGATTTTCAAATCCACCACTACTCTGAGAGCTTCTGCTCCCTATACAACGATGTGCCCGACGCTCGCTCCAATGCATTTGCCAACCTCGCCATCCCCACCGCTCTGGTACGATGGCTAGAGTCGCCTTCTGCTCTGGAAAAGGAGGTCGGCCGGAGACACTCAGAGGTCTTCCAGGACGCACTGCCTGCTCTTGAGAGAAAGCGACCGAAGCTTGAGATCAAGGACGCCACACAGGCGCTGGATAATGGCACTACCCTGCTCTGGCGCTCTCTCAAGTCGACGTCTTCCATCGAAAAGGACGTGCCTCTCATCGAGTTGAATGGCGAGATTGGCTTCCAGAAGGATTACTGTGCAGACGGTGATAACCTCTGGGCTGATCTCTCATCGCCCCTACCTTTTGTCTTTTTCCATCCTATTCTCCCACTTTACATCGACACCCGTAAAGAAGGCTCCTTGGCCCGTTATGTCCGGAGAAGTTGCAAGCCCAACGCTCAACTGGACACCTTCCTCATCAACAAGTCGGACTACCACTTCTGGCTCGTCAGCGACCGATACATCCCACCCAGCGAGCAGATTACTCTACCGTGGGACTTTCGTCTAGAAAAGAGCGTCTCTCAGCGCTGGCTACATCTGCTAGGCCTCAGCGATGATGATGGCGCAGCGCAAGATGAGTTTGAACTCGACGAGTCAGAGTATACAGCCATCTCCAACTGGATCGACCGGATATTGTCAGAATATGGCGGTTGTGCGTGTGATCAGGATAATAACTGCGCCTTCGCACGATTCCATCGACATTATCTATACGGCAAGAGCCAGTCCCGCGGTAACAAGAAGAGATCACGCAAGACAAAGGCCCACACCATCTCACCAAGCAGCACTGGTCATGCCACAAATAGTCGTGCTGCCAGTGAGGGCCATGTCGATGAGCATGCTGAGCGTGAGGGCCGAGATGGGTCGGTCCCGGCGCGGAGCAAGCCCTCTAGCAGGGATCGAACTCCGCTGCGCCAGGGCTCTTTTGATCAATTAGGGATATTGACCGAACCTACAGACCGTGACAAGCGCAAGGTGGCCATGGTGGAAGACTCCTTCCGCCGTATGGAACAAGAGCAGCAGCAACCACCGAGGAAGAAGAAGAGGGTATCAGACACTACAACAGCCTCGACATCTTCCAAATCAAAATCCAGAACCGGCTCAACCCCTCACATTGGCAGCTATGCTGATGCAAGCACCACATCCCGAAGCAAATCCGGTTCGCCTGCTAGCTCAAGGTCACCAAATCTTGGAACCTCTTCTAAATCTACTGCAGTCCGCCAGGGCTCAGCAGACATACGAGCCAGGCAATCATCCGCATCGCCACGACCCGTCTACTGCGACATGGGCATTCAGACGGATCCCGTAGACGACGAGTGGTTTAGTCAGCCGCAAGAACTCCCCTGTCGCAAGAAGCGAATCATTTCACTTTCTCAGCGACTCCTCAACAACAGATACAGAGCGCGCGCTGAAGAGGACCGCAAGCGAACATCATCCATCTCAGACTCACGGCCCTCAACGGCTGACGCCATGGACGTTGATGCCGGTGAGACTGAGCAGAAACCGGAGCTACCAAAAGCCGAAGAGGAAACGCAGCCGCCTCCGTCTCCTCCTCCAACTCAAGGTGGAGAAGACGCGGAAGTTCATGACGCGCCCCCTCTACCTGCTCCTGAAGAAGCACCAGCAGCCCCTCTGAGTGAGGCGGAGTCTACCCCGGAGAAGCTCAAGGCACCTGAGCTCAAAGTTCAAATGCCCAACTTGCCCGCACTCGATGCCACCGCTTCAACTACGACCACGCCACTATCGGCAAGCAGCTCTGCTGTGCAAGCAGTAATCATCTCTAGCATCAACTCAACCGTTAACGGAGCCATTGCAACTTCAAGTCCAATCAAAAAGAAGCTGAGCCTTAGCGATTACACCAAGAGCAGGATGAACAAGGCCGCGGTGAAGCCCTCATTGAGCCTCATTTCTACAAAGCCTAGCCCTTCAGAGGCAGATGAGATAAAGCTGGAGAATGTAGAGTCAGCAACTATGGAGAAAGTCGAAGGCGCAGTGGCTACACCTACAGCGGCAGCCGCCGCCACCACAAACGGTCACACAAGAAATGTGTAGGATAGGATGATGTTTGTGTTCATTTCGTGTTATTCATGGCGGGAATTCGCGATTAGTCATGTACCGCATTCAGTGGATGAAGGGAAATCAATTGGACGAGTCTCAAAAATGGAGGTTGGAGTTGTTTCAAATTTTTATACAAGGCCAATGGACAGCTCGGATATGTTGCCCATCATTGTTTTTTACTTTTTACTTTACACTTCTTTTCTATTTACTGGGCGTTTAGGGGAAAGGGAAGACGACGATTTTGGGAAATGAAAGATTTGGCGCCAATGGAGATGTCGAGCCGCAAGGTCGACGCAGGGAGTTCTAACTTGCAAGACCAACGCTACCTGCTCTCTTGAATCCTTGATTTGGTCCAAAGTTTTTGGGGCCAGGCAAAGGCGTCTCAAGGCAACCCAACGCTCCGGATATACAAAAAAGGAGTCTGCTGGACACTAGGGCCGGGGAATTTTTATTTATTTTCTTTTTCTTTTCTCAAGAGGAGGGGCGTAACTTTAGGACATGGTTGCTTTTTCCAACACTTCAAAAACTAGGGTTTTCTGGGGAACGGGAGAGGGTCCTGTGTACTTTTATCATCTTGATCTTTATGAATTTTAACTGGACGGAGGTTGGGTGGCCGGATAGGATGGATGGACGGGGTTGGTAGAGCGGGAATCCTTCATTTTTTCTTACGATTCCCTGCTCGGCGGCCGGATGGGATGAGGCCATTGGGTTTTATGTGTGGCCTCTGGGTTGAGACGACGACACGTGATATAATGGATGGCAGACAAATCCGTTTGATCTTTTTTTTTTTTTTTTTTTTTTTTGAACAGACGATTGTTCGAGTTTTTGGGACCAAAGTTCTGTTGATGAATCGGGTTCAAAGTTTAAGGTAGCCAGATAGAACTATGAGCAAAGAAAATTGGACTCTCAGTCTTTTTAACCAGTTTACGGGTTAGTGCTGGATGTTTTTAAATCTTGTGTGGTGTAGCATTGCTTGCTGTCTAATTAGAATAGTATATACACGTGTAGAAATTGCGAGATTCTAGTAAGCTTGGTGGGTTAATGCTGTCCTGTGCTGCCCCAGTTGTCTTCCTTAAAGATGAGCAGGGCCAGCTTATGTCTGACGAAGAGGCCGAAGAGGCCGACGAATAGCTGTAGTAAAGTCACTTCCCAGGCGAGGCGGTTTTCCTTTAGGGGACCTCGCCACACGAGCCACAGGTTGAGGAGCGTTAGATTACTCGTTTCGACGAAGAGGCCGGCTTCGTCAGTGGTGACACGGAGGAGACGCAGGCGGTGCAGCAAATGCAGGGCCTTGCCGACGAGAGGGTGTGGCTGCCGATCGGGGGACCAAGGAGTAATGGAGGGCTCGAGGAGGCCGGAGCGGGCGTTGAATTTGGGCAGGCGGTGGCGCGGGCAGGGAACGAGGCCGAAGATCTGGGGGCACGAGTAGAGGAAGTTGAAGAGCTGGGGGACGAGCAGGAGGCCGAGCGTCTTGGAGAAGTGGCCGAGGATGCCGACGACGGCGAAGACCATGCCGGAGAAGTAGCAGTAGGTGTCGCCAACAAAGACCTTTGCAGGATACCAGTTGTGCGCGAGCAGAGCTACCGAGACGCCTATCCAGGGAAGCAAGAAATACAGCGAGAAGAGGTGAGAATCTGTCGCGGGATGAGGATACGGGGTGAAGAGGTAGAGACAATCGTTGAACGCGATGAGCAGTGATACGACGATACACTGTGATACTTCGATGCCGTTGATGCCCGCGAGCATGTTTATGCTCTGGGGGCAGAACATGGCGACGCAGGCCATGTAGACGTAGTAGAGGAAACCGAGATCGAAGAGATCGCCGAGAAAGGGCTGGAGGGGGACGGGGATGACGATGGAGGTTACGTCGAAGTCGACGAAGTAGACGACGAGGAGGGGGATGGAGGCGAGGCCTGGGATCCACCACTTGTGGCGCCAGCGGATGTCGAAGAGGTCGTCGCCGATGCCGAGGAGGGCGATGGTTTGGAGGGAGATGATGGCGCCGAGGTAGGAGGCGAGCTGTGTATACGGTCAGTTGGGCATGTTCTATATCTGAGCTGAGAGAGGAGTAGGGGATGAGATGGAGAAAGGAGTGTATCTCATATATGTCCTCGTTTGTATGTATATATGGTAGAGAATGAATGATATCTCTCTTACCTTGTTATGAGGAAATCGATGCAGGAACCGTCCCTCGTTCGCATGGTGTATCTCCACCACAACATCCCGATTCCCTCCTCCGCTCGTCGCCGCCACAATGTCCTTGTAAAAAGGAAACGGAATGAAAATAATCACTGTAATCAGATACACAGCAGCACACACTGCGCCCATGCACTCTGGCAGCTCCGCGCTGTTGACCTTGCTCAGGTCGCGGCCCCGGAAGCCGGCCTTGATGAAGGTCGGGCCGAGCCACCGGATCATGGCGTAGCATAGCGAGAATGCGACGAGGGAGAGCGAGAGAGAGGCGATGAGGGGTTCGCCGTCGCCGTGGAATGTGTTTGCGAGGATGGCGAGCGAGGCGCCGGAGAGGGAGACGAGGCTGAGGGTTTCGGTGCGGGAGAGGCTTGTTGCTGGGGAGGCGTGGGGGGAGCCGGAGGGAGCCATTGTTGAGGAATCTGGAGATGGATGAATTTGACGGTGTGTGAAGAGGGTTGCTTTATAAGGCGATGAAGTGGATTGGTTGCATTGTTATTTGGTGAGAGTTTGGTGATGAGCGTTGGCGATTGGGTGTTGTAGAGGCGCAAGTTTAGGGAAGATGAGTGAGTAGCTCGAGAAGCTCAACAGCTCGTCGCAAAGATCTACAATAAAACAAATTATGAAATAGAATAAAAAACTCAAACCATTGAAACGCGCAATGAAGAACAATCAAATTCCATCAAACGACAATGTCGCGATCGCAATGGCAGAAAAGGGGCAACAACAATAAGAGGAAAACTCCCGTCTGATTTGCTGCCGTTTCTGCCACGTCGATCAACTTGGAGGTTTTTTGAAACCAGCATGTCGGAAAAGCGAAAAGTGGCGTTTCGTCATCAATTCCAAGGGGGGAGGGGGTGTTGCACGTGCAAGTCTGTCAGATTAGGGGCGTGTGTTGAGTAGGGTGGAGCTGAAAGAAAGAGGATGCAGAAGGTGGTGAATCGGGGGGTTGAGAAATCATTTGGGGGTGGGGATAGAGACATCCAATCAATATCATTAGACATGCATCGAACAAACAGAATAGGTTGGAGTTATCTTGTCAATGTAATTGAAAATAAATGATATAGATCATTGCTAGATGAAAACAATCATCACAAGATTGCATACAACAGCCGTGAGCTCATCAAGCCTCGTCATATATCCTTCCAGAATACCATTACCCAGACGTTTCTCGTCTTTTACCTGCTACATTAATCCTCAAACTCAAGGGCTAGCTAAAGTGCAGTATATCATTCATCAAAGGGTATCACAAACCCATCTTCCCTATTCCACAGTCTCTTTAAGTCCAAAAATTCCCTCTCTTCTTATGCTTAGTCTCATCATACCCTTAAACCAAATCCCATTTAGCCACATACGCCCAGGCCATCGCAACCCGCCCCTTCTTGGCAAGATATTGCTGAGCTGTCACCCCTCGTGCGTCTTGTCCATCCATCGATGTTAGCTGCAGTACCATGACCGACTGCCCTGGCGCTCCCAGGTCTTTAGCATGAACATCGGCCCAGTGCCAGTAGCCATCCGTCTCAATCGGAATAAAGTCATCCTTGCGGCCGTCGAGGCCATGAATCTGCAGCAGAAACAGGGAAGGCTTCCCAAGGCCGTGCTTTTCTGCCTTCCAGTGCTCACATAGCTGTGCAAACTGAAATCGGACAACTTGGCCGCTGTTGACAGGAATCTGCTTTGATGCAGGCTCAACAGTGTCTTCAGCAATGCCCTCTTGGCCACAGTTACCAAAGATTTCGACCGGTTCACCCTGAGAGCGCCCGACGATGTACTCTTCCCAAGTGATTGTGCGGCCATCCTCGCGGAACTGGTGTCTGTTGTCAGACGGGAAATGGGTACGGCCAAACCGCTCGCCGCTGTTGGTGAACTGGACGGGGCTAAACTCTTTCTTGAACAAGTTGTTGGCTCCGCAAATGTGACCAGCTCCCCAACAGGCATCGAGAAGCCTCCAGACACCACCATCAACCCTGACTGCGTTCCATGCATGGCCCGTTGCATCAGGAGGCGGCGGCCTTTGTCCTTGTTTCAGAGGTGTATAGCCATAGCCCTTTCCATGGCCACCGACGACAACGCATTCCAGACCGGCCTTGTTGGCAATGGCCTTGTACGTCTCCGCGTAGCCTTGGCACACAGCTGCACCGTAACGTATGGTTTCTTCGGGCGTCATACCCCTGATGTTGCCACTGAAAAATGCCTTGGTATCATACATGATGTTGTGATGAAACCACGTGAAGATGGCTCTTGCCTTATCGTTATATGACGGGAACGGGTCGCAGAGTACACGGGCAAGATATCCCACAACATCATGTTGGGGGAGCTGCTCTCTGGGATATTGGGCGGCAACGTTATCAGGTCCACTCCAGTCTCGGCATACCCAGCAATCATTAGCCACTACTGGCGGAGCTGGCGACGCACGGGAGGAAATGGCTTGGATCTGAGCCACTGATGGGCGAGAGGCCATTGGGATCGGAGGGGGCCCGTCATCAGCCGCGGCATCAATCTTGGGCCTTGCTGGCATCTTTGGAGGCTCAGTCATACTCCCGAATCCCCGTATCTGAACAGTGACAGGTGTTGGCTTTGGCGTTGGCTTTTGCGTTGGCTTTGGTAGAATCTCTGTGCTCGTCGAAGGCTGGGGCCTAGCTGGCCTAGATGGCAGTCTGGGAGGGAGGCTAGGTCTGGCTGGCTGGCTGGCTGGCTGTTCAACTGTCTGTCTGGCTGCCATCCTCACGGAATTTTCTCTAATAGCCGCCTGTCTTGTGACAGCTTCTTCCTTTGCCTTTGCCTCTAGTTCCCGCTTTGTAGGCGGGAGAGGAGGCAAGCTGTTCATGTCACAAACCGGTGGCAGCTTGTGCACGACGGTCCCGTTGGATCCATTGCTCGTAGTAGAAGAGATTGTTTTGGTCAAAGACAAAGACGACATGGTAGACTGCATCGATGCCTCTGATGAAGCCGAGTTGCGCCGTCCTGAGGGTTTGGGAACGGTAATCGTTGATGTTCGTCGCGGCGGTAGTGCAGGTGACGCCTGGAAGGATCCAGTCCTCGAGGGCAACGGCGGAGGGGCAGAAGCATCTGGTGAGGTCGCATTCTGTGTGTTGCGACGAGGCAATGGTGGCGGTGCATCGGCATTTGCTCTGCCGGGTCTCGGAGGCTGTTGCGGCGCTGCTTCATGAGCCGAGCCGTTGACGGTCACGACGGGGGCAGTTTGGCTTCGGGATTCGACAGCAGGACGTCCAGGAGGAGGAGGAGGCTTGGGCTTTTTGCGAGCAGCCTCAGGAGTGCCGACGCTGCTAAAGTTCTTTTGCTTGTTCAACGCTGCTATCCTCTCCGCCAGCGTATTAAACTGCGGTTCCTCGGTGTCTGCCATGGTGAGGATGTTTTATTGATGATGTCCTTTTGTATGTTTTATATCTCAATCTGTTTTGTTGGTTCCTCTCCTGATTGCTCAAGTTGACAGGAAGAGATGTTGGTGCTTGGCAAGCTGTGGTTGGATGAGTGGCGAGATTCGAGCTCAGTGAGCAAGTAAAGAGAACGAATGGACGTCTCAGCTTGGAGACGCAAAAGTATTGCAAGAAACTCAATAAAAAAGATCGAATGCAAAAACAAATGAGAAGCAATAAATTTCCTTCTTTTTATTTTTCTCCAGCTACCCACGCATCATCAAAGAGCGACAAGGAAAAGAGCGGTGCTAGACGATGCTGAAGCAGACGGTGAAGATTGTTGGAGAAAACTGAGAGACTGAGCTGGGACCGCCGTTGACATAGATGGCTATTTTTAAGGGCCAAGACACAACTGCACTTGCATTAGCTGGTTTGAAAAAGAGTACGGAACCAGTTTGCTTTGCTTTGCACAGCCCACTTGGCTCACGGGGGCTCTGCCGTGTCACTGATACACGCTGTTGGCACCAGCAGTTGCCACCGTGCGAGGTCACAGGTACGGGCGAGCGATTTGATAGTCGTGCACAGAGCAGAGTTCCCAGTCGCAGTGACACTGCAGTGGTTTAGGCAGATGCGGGCATTTTTGCAGTCTCGTCTCGTTTGGGGAAATGGGGAGGGAAATGCCGTAAAGAGCTTGCAGAAGAAAAGACGAGCTTCAACGCGTGTTTTGGTTGGCAAAGGCGATTAAATGGATGGGGGCGGCTAAAGCAGGACATGTGGCGCGATGAATGCCAGGCCCGCTCGGCAATTGCCTAACCGGGCTGCATTGCATTTGATTTTGCCAGGGGGGTTTGAATTGCTGTAGGATTTGTCTGAGTTTGATGGTTGTAAGTGGTGAATGAATGAGTAATACCACAGAGAGAGAGGTGTTGATGTCGAGGAGATGTAAAGAGCATCAGTTGAGGTTATCACCAAGTACATTGATCAATGCTGTTACCTCAGGTATTTCTTAGTACAGCAATTGATCCATGTACTGGTGACTTAGGCGTTGCTGTTGGGCGGACAAAAATACAGTGTGTGTGTCTGTTTACATACGGGATTAAGACCAGGATCAATTGCGTCTGGTCCTTATTGATGTGCAGAGTGCATTAGTCGAGGCAGGCTGTGACTCATTGAATGGCAGCTTATCTTTTATTAATAGCCATGGACAGTTGCAGCAAGGCAGCAGACATCAATCCTTTATATACCGGCGACAATTGTTTTCATCGTGAAGCAGCAAGTTGGGCGTCACTTCTACGCTTGTACTGTAACGGGTACTCGACTTACTCGCCTCATTATACATGTCCCCTCAACTATGGCCTACTTATCCCAGACGGGTGGCCCCGTCTCCGTCAGCTTGGCTTTCCAATGACCTCCTTGTGACCTGGACTGTGGCCAATAGACGGCTCTGGCTCGTTTCGAGAGGGGGATCCAATGGATTGTTTGCAGTGGCGAGTGGCTGAATGAGCTGCAACGCAGGTACTCGCACATTGTTCCTCGGCTACCTATACCTGTACCTGTACATTTCCCCTCAAGCGCTGACATTGACTGGCAGGGGTCAAGATGGGAAAAGATGCCGTGAATCAACGCCCTCAGCTCAGCTCTTCCTCCGCACCGTCAATGGACTCTTCCGGCTATGGTACTGTACAGTAGCACATCAAACTACCCCGATCAATCGTCAAAGCCTCACTCAATACAATCAAGTTAGATCCAAGCACCTACGCAAACTTGCCGCAGCCCCGCCCGCCTCTTCTGCCCCTCCCCTCCTCCAGTTCAGCCGTATGTCGCCGTCTTACTTCATTCTAGCCCTCCACTCTGCTGTAGTGCAACCAGCCCCGGCCCTACCTAGCCCAAAAGCCAGCACACCCCCATAATTACAGGGCCAAACTCTCCAAAAACTAGCGCCAGCCGCCTAAACGGTCGCCTGTCCTCGCATCCACCCCGCTGGCCGGCCCCTCTACCCGCCTGGCCCATCTTCTGATTCTGATTCTTCATCAGTTCCCTCCCCACATCCATGTTGGCCGAACTCCAGACCAAGCGAACGAGACAACGCAGAACGAAACAGAGTTGCAACAAAGGCCGAGAACCCGCCAAGGCGCCGCAGATTGCCCTTTGTCCGCCCAACGCCAATTTGGCTCCAACTTACTTTGCCTTTTGTTGGTGCTGTTGTTGCGGTTTTCAGCACTCGTTACGCTGTGGCTACTCTGCTCTCTTCTCCTCTCCTCCTGCCGTCATCTGGTGCTGTCGCAATCCCGGATATCACCATCTCCCGTCTTTCGACTCCCTAACATCAGCGACAGTAAGAGTATCAACACCAGCATCGTCATCGGCATCTTTTATTCGGTTAATCTCGAATCTCGGCGCCGGGTCTCGTTGTAGCCTCTTTGCGCCGCAATCCCATTCCGTCGTCCTAGCGTCGCATCTCCTCTTTTCGCCACTCCCCATCGGCAGGTTGCGCGCTCTCGGCCGACAAGCCTCGCCAAACCGTCCAAACCGTCGAGACATCTCCTCCCAGCATCGTCTGAGGCCCTGAGGAGCGCGCTTCCTCTCACCAGCGTCGCCCTCTCGCCTGCCTGCTGTCGCTCTCACAACGTATCCCATCATGGCCACGAGCGATGCCGGCGACGAGGTGGCGGCCCAGCCCAACAAGCAGCGACTCACCTTTGTCGACTTGCCCACCGAAACCCAGCGGGAAATCATCTCACATGTACGAAATCCCTTCTTTCAAGCTCATCTCTCCAGAGGATTCCGAAATCTCCCACTCATTTTGCATCCCTATGCTTACGTGTGCCCTGTTGGTCCTCTCATCTAGTGCTCTCAGAGCGATCTGATATGTCTTGCTCTCGTCTCCCGCCATTTCCACGAACTCGCCTCGGCCCAGCTATACAGGAACTTCCACATCATCTTCCCCGACGATGACGACCTCAACTTCGATTCTCCCATCGACGGTCTTGCCGGCGGTCTTGATACTTTCACCACCAGCAATTATGATTATGCCAAGCATCTGAGGGATCTATCCATGGACACTCTCAGCGCTGGTCTTAAGGGAGAGTGCTGTTACCAATCCTACCTGTATAGTGCCAGTTGCGGCAAGTTTCTAAACACGCTCCTGCATCTTACACTCAGAAAAGCCAGATCACTTGAGGTTTTCCGGTGAGTCGCCGTCTGGAACCAGCCCAATTGCACCTATGATCCCGACCATCGGGGGGTTTTCGTGTCAGTGAGGTATGCTAAGTCTCGGCGCTTTAGATGGAATATCCGTGTGGAACTCAGCAGACCTGTCTACCGCGAACTGCATAGAATCGCATCGCTCAAAAAGTTGCATGTACGGATGCAAGCGGGAGACTCTTACTACGTACAGCCGCCACCGCTGCCCGTCTCCATCGATCCTCACCCCCAGCCAGAATCGACAAACCATTGGGGAGGCATTCCGCCGCTTGCTCCTCTCAGCTTGTTGCCTCCTCCGCCTCCAGGCGTCGTGCCACCTGTTGTCAGCGGTCCCCCGCCTTCTCTCCTACCGCCGTCCTCCAAGTCAGCGTCTAAGAATAAGACTGGGAAGCGTGTGACTGGTGCAAAGGAGCCTTCTACGTTTTCGGGGTTCAAGAACCTCCAGAGCCTCAGTGTGCTGGATATCGAAAACCTCGATATCGTAAGCGAGCTCAATGCTTGCATCAAGAACTCTAGCTCAACGCTTACTGAACTACAACTATCCTTTTCGGATGGGTTGGCAAGCCGGGCGCGTAAGCCGCCGCCTGATTCCGACGCAGACGATTCAGATGTCGAAGACGAGTTCCAGGTTCTCCCGGCTACACAGAACAACAACGGTAGCAGCTTCGACTCCAAGTCATATAGGGTGTACGAGGAGCGGAGACTTCAAGAAGCCGTCCTTGGCAAAATCTTTCAGCTTTTCTCACCGCCACCCGGAGCGCCGCGTAAAGCTGATACTGTCGAATCCGAGCAAGAGGACGATAAGAAGGGACAGGAGACTTCGGCGACAGATGTTCGAGAGGCATTCATCGAATCCATAAAGAATGCATCTACCAAACTCATGACGATTACCAGTGGATCTTCCAATTTCTCTGCCACTGCGCAAGATATGCTTGATACCATAGCCAAGGCGGCGCGGAATTATGTAGATTCTGTCGAAACATCAGCACTGACTGGCGGGCAGCCAACCCCCCAAAACCAGGAGGCTGCAACAAGCACCACCAACGGCGTATCTCAGGGCGAGTCTTTAACTGCAGCAGACGAGACAACTGCTACATCTCCTCCGATCAAGGAAGTTGAAGAGGAATCCAGTGCCAAGGCAAGTGAGACGACGATGCCTAGCGAGAGTTCGTCCAGCAAGGCACCAAAGAGGAGCGGCACCGACGCTTCTCCTGAAGATATCGACATTGCCCATATCGAAGTTCTTGGGGATGGTTTTGAAGAAACCGAGGATTCCAGCCTGCCAGATGGTATCGATTCTAAGCCTGTGGAAGGGGACACCTCTGAAACGGAACCTGGTCAAACTGGTTCTTCCTCTGGCTCTGCTACTCCTACGCCAGCGGCTGATGCGGCCGTGGCCCCCTCCATGACGCCTGGCAACGCCACTCAATCCTCTGCACACAAGGTCAACTTGGAGAACCTGATGACGAAACTTGACTCTTTCCGGAACCAGAGCGAAGCCATAGGGAAGAAAATCAACGACCTACATGCTCAAGGCTCGGCAATAGATCATACGCAAATCAAAGATGCTGACGCCCAACTCAGGGGCTTCAGTGCCATGGTCACTGATCTCCAGAACGAAATTCAGGTTATCGAGGAGGAGATGGATGAGTCGGAGCGCAGGGCAGCGGGCGTCAATACTACCAGTATGAGCGACTATGTCCGCCGTACAAGAGGCCTGATGCTCACATCCTTGAGCATCTACCTTATCCCCGTCAAGGCATCCGTTTTGTCGCAAACAATCAACCTATCGTGCCTTAGGCAGATTACCCTTCTCAATGTTGGAGACCAGGCGGCCATCTGGTCTTTGTTCACTAAGGCAAACAAGGTGCGGCCGCTGCCGTTGAGGAGCATCTTCACGGACAACGTGTGCAATCAATTCCTCGTTTTCGCCTCTCAGCTCGAGGAGATACATGACCTCTTTTTGCTCGAGCGCAGCCCTAAGAGCAAGCCCGAGACCCTTTCCATGCCGAGCTTCGCAAATATGGATCAGATTCGAAGGCTTGTGCTCAAAAAGCATATTGGCAATCTTAGGCGATTGATGATCAAAGATGAAGCCAGCGGCACTCGCTGGGACTGTAACGAGAAGACAATGATTCTCATTTGCACCCAGGGCCGGAAACTCGAGGAGTTGGCACTGAGCATGAATATCCAGGCTGTGGTAAGTAAAAAATGAACTCTACGAATAATGGTTAGATAAAGCTAACTTGAGCAGCATATTTTTATGCAATACTTTTCTGGTCTGGTTAGCCTGCGCGCAATCAACATCTTACACTTCCGCAACAACGACACTTGCATCTGGGTTGTTAGAGAAATCCTGAGATTCATTGTAGACAATCTATCGCACTATCCAGAGCTCAAGCTGGAGTGGATCGCAATGGAAGACGATCGTGTTGACCGAGTTATCCGGCCGTCGGACGAGGCCAACGACGCCCCGGATGAGCGAAACAACAACAAGCGGGCCAAGGGCAAGAGCAAGGACAAATTCCCGCCTGTGACGAGCCTGGGCCCCCACAACAACATGTTTCCGCCTCTCCCGCTGGAGGGCCTCGACTCGGAGAGCGATAGCGATGACGAGTTTAACGGAGGGTCTCGCCTGCGATTCAAGACGGTGGGGCCGCTGCAGTTTTACGATGTTTGGGGGGTGAAGATCTTTGATAAGGAGATTCGCAGTGGGAGACTATGAAGAAATAGCGTATCAAAAATTAACTGCTGTTACAGTAACAGAGCGATAAGCGAATGGGAATATCATTTTCCAATTGTACATAACTATAGGACCGAAACAGATTTGGGCGAGCCGGTTGGGGGGGCAAATATAGGGCATAACGGCACAAAGGCGTCTATCAGCGAAGCGCAACAAAATATCCAAGGGGATGCTGCGTTACAATTTTCGGATTTGGGTAGGAGAGAATTACAAGTAGTTTAGTTACAGTGAAAAGAACACGAGGATAAGTTAATGAAATGGTTGATGTGTGCATGAGTGATAGATTCTATACGTAGACGGGCCTAGACGACTATCATATAGACGCCCTTCCTTGCATGTGCTTGTCCTGCATGTTGCAAGAACTGTAGCCAAGAAAAGAAGTGCAATGTATCTCCTTCTTTCGGAACTTGTATTGAAAATATTGCAGGGAGATCCCTGGCAACTCGACCCTGCATGCGTTTTAGAGGATATGTTTGATTGGCAGCCAAGGCGCTGGAGGTGAGATATTGGCGGTGATGCTTTGGCCTCTCTTACGGGCCGCATTGAATCATATAAAGAATTGATATCTGCATGCATATTCCCGGAGAAGAAAAAGAAACGTATTCGTCATGAGGAAGAATTTGTCCACGGGAAGCCATGCAAGGGAAAATTCGCGATCATGTTGTGTTTGAATAGTGTAGGGTATGTCTTCGTCTTCTATGCCGCCCCTATGCGGCTACATTATTCTCTGCAAAAAGAGCGAGAAAGGAAATATCTGAGGCTAGAATGACACATGAGAGGTTTAGGAATCACTTATGATGATTAGAATTGACACGCAATAAGATTGTAAAGCAGGGTCAGGCCAATTATCGTACGGACACAGATGGAAAATGAAGTTGAAACCCCCAGGATGCATCGTAGAGTAGGATTCTGGGCAGTGCCGTCACATCAGCCCATTTGTTGAATGTGTCGCAACTCTTGTAGGGCTTTTGTAGGGACTTTAGGTAGGATGAAGCAGGCGATACACCCTCCTATTCGACGCAAGTAGAATCCTTGACCTTGGTCGTGGCATCGAGTTGATGTACTTGTTCCTATCAAATATTATGTCGATTTTTATGCAGTGAATGATGACACAGGCCCAATGGAGAAATCGCCAAGAGAAAAAGAAGATATATATATGCAAGTCCTGCTGTGTTGATAGAGACTGAGCCACAGTGGTTTCGTGGACTCGGGTTTGGGCCGATCTGAAGCGGCCGAAGTCGGCGGCATCACGAGGCTGTCTCTGTCACTGGTGAGCGCAACATGTCTAGATACACTTACTTGTACACCTATGATGTGTTGGGTATTGATTCCGTTTTCGCGTCAAAGTATCCTCATCACATTGTACTAAGGCCTAAAAGCAACTGAGTAGACCTGTGTCGGTAGAGGCTATGCTCGTGGCGGTGCCAGTACACCGCTGATGGAGGTGTGTTTCTCCTCTTCCTGCCGCAACACCTATCAGTGGTACTTGATGCTCGATTATTGTATCTATACCGCAAATAGGAAAATTCGGTTTGTCGAGGCCTCCCATCGGGCATCAACCAACCACAGTCTCGTCACTCGCTTGATGAGACAGGGAACACTGGGCTTTGGAAAGGCAGCCGGCAGCCAACCAAACAAGGCCACAAATGCAACGCCGAGTACTACGGAAGAAGTATGGACCGACAACCAATCAGCAATGCTCACGATCGCTCATGCTTTCAGCCCAACATCAGAATATTCAATCTCATAACTTCTGTCGATATATGGGCTGAATCTCCAGTCAGGCCAAGCATGGAAGCTCACAAGCCAGAGTATCAACATTTCATTCCTCAGTTCCTACTGAGAAACTTCTCTCACAAATATGCACCCCCCGGAAAGTCCAAAGAGGGGAAATCCAAGAAGCGCGACCCCAGGAAGAAGATGTACCCTGGAGACCAAGCGGTGAACAGCCTTTGCCTATCTGATGATGAATTTTCCTTTGATGAATGTTCGGTAAGGCGCACTTGTGGCTTGGAAAATATGTATGTGAATCCGACAAAACCGTTGCAAGACCATGGTCATCTTGAGAAAAAGTTCGCCGTCCTTGAGAACAAAGCGAGCTGCATCTATCGCAAAATTATCAATGCCTATAAAGATGGAAAGCCGGCTATAGTGCTGAAGAGAACGGAGAAAGATGTATTGCGAAAGTTCGTTTTCTTACTCGCCGATCGTGGAGAGCAATACCACCGAAAGTACAACTTAGACAGCATGCAGGATTATGATCATGGCGACAAGGAGCTTTTACAACACTACATGGCAAAGCACGGCTTCACCAAACCGATTGATGTCTGGTTTCAGAGCTTGGAGACGATTATAGATTTGGACATTGACACAGAGGGATGTTGGAAACGGCACATTAGCGAGAGCATTTACTTCCCCATCGCCGATTCGTTTATTGACTACATCTGCGATATGTACATGGCTATCTGCACACTAGTGAACCATGATGAAGAGTTTGTTCTTACAGACAATTGCTATAACGTGAGGGAGGGGCGGACTGTTGCTTATTTTGATATTAGTACAGGCAAGCATACCAGTATGGGTCCTTGCTTTCACAGATTTGCACCGATTTCTCCGAGGCTTATAATAGTCCTACGGTCTGCTTATCTGCCTGAGCCACTTGAGGATGCGGATCCGGCCATTAAGGAGTGGCGGCAATTCCAGAGGCAGCTGTGGATTGACTCTATCTTTGGCAGCGGAATTGAATCTATTCTGGAAGATCTCCCTATCCGAAAAGCAACAAATAGCTACATGGAAATAGTCAACGGGAGGCTAGCGCCAAGATCTGGACGGAACCACCGCTTGGGTATAAATGACAGTTTCTGCTTTACAATCTTTAAAATACCTACTCGCCATGTCCGAACCATCAATGGCCTCCTAATTGATCACGCGTTCCATGGCTCGAGGATCATTTTCAATCGGAAAGACATCTTCCTGGACTTGATGGAATGGTATTTAACAGAACCGTGCGAGGTGGGGAAAAATTTAACGGGAAAGAACGTACCTAAACAGTTAAGGTACATTGAAGGCTTGTCTAAGTTTATGTTACGTGAAGGAAGGGAGATTAACCCTAGAATAATCTTTTGGCCAAGTGAGGATCGCGACCTGAATCACTTCCAGCTTAAGAACATTGCTGGAGCGCGGTTCTTGGAAGGGGTGAGGTCAAGGAAGGACGGCATGGGTTCTGGTTTTGACGCAATTTATGAGAGACTGGGTATTACACTTCTTCAATCTATATCTTTACTGGAGATGCTAATCGTGCGTGGTAGGTGGGACAGTGGCGACTCTTGATGAAGACATGGCAATAGCCAATACCATGCTCCAGATCTGGATCAGATGTGTGGATTTAGATTGGGAATCGCCGGAATATGAATCGATTCGCCGTAACAAACTTGCCTGCCTTTTAGACGGGTATCAACGGCAGTCATGTTCTAGGTTTTGGATGTTTTTAAAGTGGATGAGGCTGGCCCAAAAATGGGGCCTCAAGTCGATACAAATCATTGCACCATTTTTTGGAGAAGCATGCCGGGGATCAGAGGACATGCTTGCACATGGTTAATTCCGCCATCCCTTACATCTAATATTCATATAACTAACGTAATATTCACAGCACACCCGGTAATACAAGAGCACGAACTCAATATAGCGATGTATAAGTCTTTTAACGAGCACATGACCCTAATCAGAGGAACTGGGTGTGGCCTAGAATCAATGGGGCTTTTCTCACTATTTGGTGACGAGAGTTGGAGAATTCCAACACCCTTTTCTCACCTGAACCAGCCGTGCAAAAACGATGGAGATGAAGATGGACCTGATGTCAAGAAGACAGTCCGTTCCTCATCATTTGACAGTGCGAAGCGGAAAGCATCAACGCAATCTCCCCACCGGAATCAGCGGTTCAATTATAACGAGATTAAAGAGAAAGTTGGGGTTGGCAAAGCAACCCATTCCTTGCTATTTGATACCGAGAACAGGAAAATACCAACCGGCCCCATCGAACAGACTAAGCCATGCGATGATAACGAGACGAAAGATGAATCTGATATAAAGAAGACAGCCCATCCCTCGCTATTTCACAACGAGGGCTGGAAACCGCCGACAGACTTTGTCGACCTAAAGGAGAAAGCTGACGAGCAGCTTGAGCACGACAAAACGATGATACTCATGACGTGTACTGCATTGGTTATTGTTGCCGCGCTAATGCTTTCTTTGTTGGGAATTTGTAGCTATCTTCTGGCGCATCTTTTTCATTTTCTCGTATGGCTGTTAGACAGTCTACCATGGCTATTGGACACTCTTTCGCCCGCTTTTTATGTCCTAGGGCGATTTTTGTTGGGAACTTGTAGCTATCTTCTGGCGCTTCTCATTGATTTTCTCGTATGGCTGTTAGACAGTCTGGCATGGCTATTGGGCACTCTTTCGGCTGGATTTTATGGCCTGGGGCGATGTTTGTTCTTTCTGGGGCTGCTGTTGGTTTATTCTTGTTTGGCCGCTCTCGATGCCTAGAAAATTATCTAGTGCCTCGGGAAATTGAAGTACTATTCATAGATGTTCATGGTACTGTAATAATGGAACCACTGATGGAACAAGTATGCACTATGCCATTACAGGTCAATATAGATAAGCTGACAGAAATGCGCCTATTTGGCAAATGTTTGTTTGTTTGTTTGGTTGTTTTATGTACAGTATTGGTGGAAGTGATATTGATTGGCCTTCAGTATAACCTCAAAAACATATAAGACCCGCATACCCCACCATGACAGTGCGGTCTTTGACGGTACTTTCCTTTATCAGTAATGTACTGATATGGCTTCTAAAGTTCCTCCACACACATATTTATTAAAAGAGAGAATAGAACCGGAAGCTACATTTACACAGAACAGTAGAAGGATGTACTGTCCCGACATGATGTTATTTCATATACTGTCCAGACAGTGCTGGTTACAGACACTTGGCTAAGGCATCTATCTTCACGATACCGGCTCGACAGAGCCGTAGTAAAATACACTACGTGTATAACCAACATAAAGGCGATGGCAGAAAATATAGGCTAGGTTCTTTGGAGGCTTGGATACTTGAAAACACTCCGAAGGCTACTCAGGATCGTAGCATCGGTCGATCCAGGGCAGTGCTTCGATCGTTGGATGCAAATCGCTCCGTATCAATCCGTAGGTGGAGAATCGGTTGGTGCCTGACGGGATGGCGGCTGGACACCGTCGATAAACAATAAGACGGGACAAGGCCTGATGTGCCGGTGATGGATGGGTGGAGGCGAAGTCGTATAGCCTGCACCGGTATGCTCCCGTGTTTTCACAATGTGTGCTCATGTACGCTTACGTATAAACCAATGGCGCAGCGTACGGATATGCACGATGCCTTGTTTCTGGCAGTGTACTCCGCACGTGTAGCGTGTACAGGCTTGTAGTACAGTTTGCTTGGGTTTCTGCTTCGTGATCATTGCCGAGAAGCTCAACCGGCCATCTTACACCATTGTCGCCATGGTCCACATACATCGTTTGCTGTTGAAGCATCGCTATTCATGCAGCTCGACTAGGATAGAGATGTGACGCGTGTACCTGGTATAGGGCTATGAGAGATGGGGGATTTGGTCATGTTCCTTCTAATCTATTGGCGACAGCATCAACGTAGGCGCAAGTGGGATAAAGTGATGGCTTAGCCTGCCAGAGAAGAATATAAGGGCACCGGAACTCGCCTGCAGAACAGAGCTAGATTTGTAATAAAGGGACTCCGTCGCACAGCAGCGGTAACACGGAAGCCATGCTGCATCTATATTGTTTCATAAAGGCGGGATGAGTAGCCAGAGTGTCGGGAGGCTGGCAAATCAGACGTTTCCAATCCCACGGCGAAGCTGCGATTGTGGCTTGCTTCTCCTATCCTGCATTGACTGATCGAGGGTGGTGGCATGACGCCAGAGTGCCGTGTCGACGGAATCAGGCTGTGGCTTGTTTGGCTGTGACACGAGCTGGCTCATGAGATTGAAATCATCCCTGTTGATGTCGTTGTGGCCTTCCCTGTGATGATCGTTTGAATGTACGAGTAGTCCTTGCATATACATAAGATCAATCAATAGCTTTGGTCTAGTCATTGAGCACGACGCTAGAGCTGGCGCCGTTGTCGATCGCCGGTACCCGCGATAGCCGTGTTGATCTCTGCTTACACGGACAGCAAGAGAAGATTGTGCGGTCATCGATTATAGCTGTCTCAAGGAACTCGCCCAGACGAAGTTGATGGCGGATTAATTGCCCAACCGGCCGTGAAGAGCTGTCCCGCGTGGGCATGTATTTTTGGAACGGAGCTCCGAAACTCTCCCTCTGCATTGTCTTCCAGGTCGACGGACATGGCTGAAGGCTAGATCATTCCTGTACTCCCCCAGACCTGGGGCAGCAAGGCTAGTATGGAGAACACATGTAGCAGTGGAGCTCCCCATGCCTCTGCTCGTCTTCTTTTGCCCCTCAGAAGCTTCTATTTTTGCGTCAAGGTGAGACATTGTGCGCTATATTGCCTGTAGTGCTGCTAGCCCCACGGCAGGCGAGGCTTCCAGACTGTGAAAAGCGGCAGAGAAGCTGAAAAAACTTGGAAATCTGGGCGAGGAGCCGCAAAGCTGAATAGCTGATAGACAAGGATATGCCGTGGCGCTTGGTCGAGACCATGACAGTTGCGCGACGCCGTCGCTTCAATTAGGACAGCTCCAGGATCCGGATCCGGGTGAGAACTGGCGGCGACGGGCGACATGCGAGTAATTGCTCCATTTACCCCGGACACAGGCCGGTTTGATCAGAGACATTTTGCTGCGTGGTGACCCTGCTGAATGCGGCAATGCGCAAGAGATTTGGTGGCTGATGGCGGGAGGAGGATGATGTTATTGGGCCTGAAGATTCCAAGTTGGTGAGGGGCACAGGCTGGTTAGTGGAAGGTTGATAGATTAGAGCAGCGCACATGACTGCATCACTGTGGCTGTTAGTGGTTGCTTTGGGAGAGGCTGCTCGCTATTGGGTACACCGCATCAATCCATCAAAAGTTGATTGTTCAATGTCAATATTGATAGCTGGCATCTTGGATTTGCAGCTCTGGCCAGTAAAGTGGTCAATATATGCAAGTCCACACGTGCCTGTACATTGCATCAAACAAACTCTCCGGTGGCTGCGTCGTTGATAAGAGACTGACAAACGCTGATAAGAGCTGAGCCAAGGGTTCCATGTTCAATTCTATTTGGAGCTGAGGCCAGCATGGAATCACATTCCGGCGTGATGCATGGCTTCATTATTGCCATCCATGGATGACAAACAGAGACACCCACCACCTTGTACCTCTACGCAGCGCGCGCGTTACGCGCCCGAATCCCGTCCGTCGTGGCTCCGGACAAGGGCTGCTGCATCTACAAGGTCGTATTTGCATGATTAGTAGGTACTTGTACTGTACGAAGCAGAAGCAGTAGCAGACCATGGATGGCATCGACTTGTATGGATTAGTTAGTGGACAATGTACAGTACAGTACCGAAGATAAGACGGGATAGATTTGCTGGTGATGCTAATAACTGTCGTCTCTCCCTGAGTAGAGACCCTGTGGCTGCCAAAAGTCTCAGCCTCTCTGGCGGGAAATGGATGGAGCTGCAGCACGCGAGATTCCGAGACTTTGTCTTGATTCCACGGCTCTGGGTCATCATCATCATTGCCATTACCGATTGCCACCCTTTTTTGCGCCCAACGTTTTAAACTAATGCTGAATTGTGTCATCAACCTATCATCCCGCTAATGTCGATGATCTTTTAAACATCAAATACAAAATGCATTATAATTCTTCTGCATTATTATCGCTTGTCCAAGCATATGTGTAAAGCCATCAATCGATTGATGCATCATGGATAAGGTAGCCCGTACATGTAGATATCCACAGCACAGGCAGAATCCCACTAGAGCTGCCAGGCTACAGGGGTCTCGGTACCTGTGCCAGCACCCCCCAGCTGCATCCCCCCGCTATGGATGGATCTAGGTTCCTCTTTGGGCAATACCCATCGCTGGGAGCTTCGCCCCGACTGCTCGAGTCTGATGTGGCTTTGCCTCGCCGTTTTTTAAGCTTGCCGGATGCCCGCTCCTCTAGCTTTCACTAGTAGTTTGTGCCATCATATCTCTTCCATCGTGTTGTTTTTCTCCTCATTCTCCAATCTGCCTATCCTTGATTCCTTCATCACAGGATTCGAATCTCACTGTTGGTCACCATCGCTACTTGATCGAAGCTCGACTACAGTCTTGTAGCTTCATCAAAGACACACACAAACATCGAACTTGGGAGCCCCACAGCCTCGTGGCAATATCAGTACCCAACATACCTGACCAGCTTCAACATGGATCAGCTCCTCACCACTCTCTGGAGTAGAGGCGGCTGGTTCCGCGCATTTACACCTCCTTCACCCGGCGACGATGCTCCCCAGGCCCCCCAAACTCCCCAAGGAACTCCTATTCTCGACGTCCCATCCGATGTTTTGCTTCTCATCGGAGACTACCTCAATGATGCAGAAATCCTCAGTCTCAAGCTCGCCTGCCGGAGCACTTATGCTCTGTTTCCGCAGACGTACAAGTCGCTGCCGCCATATCTAAAGAAGCGTTTCCTCCCCATTATCGAAAAGGACCCCTTGGGTAAGGGGACGGTCTATTGCCATGTTTGCAACAGGCTTCATCCTTTCAACGAGACAACCGGACCTCACTCTGGGCCTGAGCTCGGCGTTGATGGGAAAAGACTCAAGTGTATGAGCCGAGATCGATTCTCTCCAACCGGCAACCCCTTTTCGCTCAGCTACACCCATGCCAGGCTAGTCATGAACAGCCACCTATACGGCCCCGAATACGGCATCCCGCTGGCCAATCTGTGCACCGAGCAAAGCGAGCGTCGGGACCTGATGACGATACGGTGCTCGACGTCGGCCAAGATTATGGACGACGAGCTGTTCTTACAGCGCACCTATGCTCTGACAGTGGCTGATAGAGATGTGGCCGAGTTCCGAAAGTGCACCGGCGCGCGCGACATTAAGCTCTGCGAGCACACTTCTCTATTTCCCGCCTCATCGCCCTTTCGCCAGTCCATCCCCGAGCTGCTCAAGAAGCCCGCAGCCGGAGGCGATGGCCTCGTCCCATGCCGCGAGGCTCCGGGATCGTGTGGCTTGTGCCTGATGGATTATGACATCACGATCCAGCCTTGTGCGGACGATTCACACAGCATCGTCATCCGAGCCATCCACCAACTCGGCTCTTGCCGCTCTCCGCGCGACTGGAAGTGGGCGAGATTCAGCGAGAGCTACCGCATCCATATCTTTTACCCCAGCCGGCCTAATCGTCGCGGATCGACCTACAGCCCCGGCTCCCTCCACAAACGATGGGACGATGACGAGAGGGAAGCCTGCGCTGTGCTGGGCGGAGGATCCGGCAGTCTGTTTGGTTTGTCTTTATTCAGCTAGAGGGAAGGGTCTTGTTCATCCATGGTTTTGGTTATGCATGGCCGCTTTCGATCGGTTGGAATGCGGCCATGGTGAGACAGAATGCGTGTGAGTGCGTGTACTTGGCCTTGCTCAGCCACTTGGGAAACGAATCCTGTCACACAGCAAGTGGTTATGCTTTTTCCTTTTCCTTTTTCTTTTCCTGCATTGGATCGGAGTTGGATCTTGGGCACAATTTTTTTTTTTTTTTTTTTTGTCATCTATTGGGCGTACGATACGGAAATGGACACATACGGATTTGGGCTGGATTGGGCGGGAACAATGGGATCTGAGACGTCACGATTTACGACACCACTCTTGTTTTTTTTTATTGTACGAGCGCGGCATTTGGGCACTTTTTTTTTCTTCTCCCGTTTCTAGCCGGCGCTCTTTGCAGATGGGATATCGGCGGGCTCGGTTCTTCTTTTGTATCAAATCTGCTATTGATAGTGTACTTGTATTATATCAGCCATCTCTGTTCTTTCCCACATTAGTTCACAGTCTGGATACCAAAGACGCATCTTCAATTCTCATCTCGAATACCAAATTGCAATACAATCTACTTATTTCACCCTCTCAGGCTACCTAGTACTCTATCACCTCTTAGTCCCAATCCGGTGTACACTTGATATCATACCATGGCAGATAAATAAATGTCTTGTATGTCACCCATAGCCTCCCTGCTTCTCGCATGCATTAATCAATTTGATCCCATGGCCCAATTCGGCACATACACACACACCCCCATTATTTACCGCGCCGATGGGATGGGGAGGGGCCGATCTTATTGATGCAGTGGCACACCCTTACCATGACTTCATAGGCGTACGTTGGACGATTTCTTTGTGTTTGATGTTGGGAGACCTGAGCTACGTCATTATCTGCAAGTTGTAAAGGTGAGTACAAATTAATAATTATGCGACGCTAGTTCTTCTTCTTTGACTGCAGTGGGCCGGTGTTTGTGTGTTTCTTGTACGCACGTCGGATGTCGCTTGTGTGAGAGGGTATCACCGGTTTCACTGCTCGTGTGACTGAGTTGATACCGACGATGATATCCTTGCCGCATGAAAAACGAAGCTACTGACCGAGTATTCCGTAGTGCGTACAGAATTATACGCCAACAAAAGACACGAACTCATGAGATCTTTTTTTTAAACTTGTTTTTGGTTATTTTGCCATGCCGTGGGCGGATATTCAAGCAATGAAGCCCAAATACCGACGCACCGACACACGTTCTAGTAGGTTGTACATGCATACATATTCTAAACCGCTTTCTTTTCCCCCTCCTCTCCCTTCTGTCCTCTCTCTCCCCTTCCCTCCCTTTTTTGGGGGTCCTCAAGGTACTGAATGCTTGCTATATCTCAATACACTTTTGGAAAACCGTGATGAAATGAAATCCCCTCCTAGTGACATTTTTTTAAGAGCGAATAAGATGGTGTATGATACGAGTAAACTGGGGGCGTTCGAATATACGTTCATATGGGAGCAGCCCCTAGTTACGTGTGAGTTTGTTTATGAGTTTGCGGAATGGTGGGTTGTGTAGTTGATGGTTTTTGCGTAGTTTTGCAGTGGTGTGCAAAAGGCAGCGGTAGAGGTGACAAAGGTATTAAGTGATGAAGGAATCCGCTTTTTCGTTCTTTACAGCTTGCCAATGATGGCAGCGGCGTACTCGTGGGTCTTGGCCTTGCCGCCGAGATCACCGGTCAGAGCCTTGCCCTCAGCCAGGGTGTCGAAGATGGCCTTCTCGATCTTGTTGGCGTGGTCGTTGAGGCGCATGTGGCGCAGCATCATGATGGAGCTGAGCAGCAGGGCAGTGGGGTTGGCAAGGCCCTTGCCAGCAATGTCGGGGGCGGAACCGTGGACGGCCTCGAAGATGGAGCACTCGTCACCGATGTTGCCGGAAGGAGTCAGGCCGAGACCACCGATGAGACCGGCGCACATGTCGGACAGAATGTCACCGTACAGGTTGGGCATGACCAGGACCTTGTCGTTGTAGGGAGTGGGGTCGGTGACCATCTTGAGGCAGGTGTTGTCGAGCAGCTCGGCGTCGAACTCGATGTTGGGGAAGTCCTTGGCGACACGCTCGGCAACGTTGACGAAGAGACCGTCGGACATCTTCATGATGGTGGCCTTGTGCACGACGCGGACCTTGGTGCGGCCAATGGACTCGGCGTGCTGGAAGGCGAATCGCAGCACACGCTCGGAAGCCTCCTCGGTGATGAGCTTGATGCTCTGGACAACACCGTCGACGACAACGTGCTCAATGCCAGAGTACTCGCCCTCGGTGTTCTCTCGGATCAGGACAGTGTCGACACCGTCGTAGGGGGTCTTGAAGCCGGCGACGGATCGGCAAGGGCGCAGGTTGGCGAACAGGTTAAAGGTTCGTCGCAGAGTCAGGTTGAGGGAAACGTGGCCCTTGCCAACGGGGGTCTGTCAAGCGTGTCAGCATAATCTATCCATTGCGTTCTGAATGGGTCTCAGCGTAATTCTGTACGTACAGCCAGAGGACCCTTGAGGGCAATCTTGTTCTTGTTAATGTTCTCAATGGCGGCGTCGGGGATGGCGGTCCTGCCGTCCTTGATGATGGGGGTGACATCGATGGGCTCCCAAGCAATTGGGGTCTATGTCTCATTGTTAGCTATCGTTGGTGTTGTTTCTCTTGCGGGATCATTCCATCCCGTCTGTGGCATCAAGTTTGTCGTACCTTGGCAGCGGAGAAGATGTCCTTGACGGACTGGGCAATCTCGGGACCGATACCGTCACCCTCGATTAAGCTGACGAGGAAGTTGCCCTATTCACATTGTAAGCATCTTGTTCAAGACAGCTGCACCAGTTCCAAGCTCTGCGCCTTGAGTGAATTTTATCCCCCCCTCGATTTTTGGTGACATAGGTGAGACGCAGCAAATCGTCCAGAGGGCCGCGGATTGGGGGGAAATGCGCATATTAGGTGTCGAAAAGACGTACGTTGGAGTCCTTGGTTCCCTCATACTTGGCAACACGCTCCTGGGAGTAGAATCGCTTGTTCTGGACCGTACGTTAGCGAATATTCCTATCGAGTCTCTTCCGTTGCGCCGATGCTTCATACCGAAACGGACCAGGTGGCGGCAGCGCGGGGAGCTGCTCGCAGGCAGTGCCTGGCAGGGTTGGAGAGAGAGCGAATGGCCAGCATTGTGACGATGAGTGACGTATATACTCTCGAGAATATATAGAAGAGAAGCGGGTTATCAAGGGAGGAAGAAAGAAGGGGAGAAAGTGAAGGAAAAAAGGGTATCTAAGGGGAATAAAAGAGGTCCGGAATAAACATGACCATCTGAAAGTTTTTTGGCTCGGGCCCGGCATGGGCGACACTGAAAGCCGGCGATATGCACGCTTCAGCCTTGGTTGCTGCGCTGCGAGTGGCTCAATCACGAGCTGAGTGGGGATCACCAGCCACACGGCCTGTGGCGCAACCGTGGAATTTCCCTCATTTCGACGCTTCTTCCGCTCTGCCGCTTCGGTCAGGCGCCTCGGAGCCGGTCGGTTTGCGGCTGCAGGCTCCGAGCTACGCCTAATTGGTTGAGCTGTTTCTTGCCTCGGCCTCCCCCGAAGTGTCGCAGATTTTGATTGGATTTTTGATTTTTGCGCACGCTAGTGTTAATACCTATCAAATGCCAATGCCGCATGACTAAGGAATCAAAAGAAATTGAGGATTGAGGCTGGTGGACTTGCAACTGGGAATGGAACTGGAACTGGCAGCGGGTGTGGCTGGTGGTCCCTGTGGCCTGTGGCTGAGGAAACCCGACAAGTTGAGCACAGGCTGGCTGTGGCTGGTGGCTGTAGCTGTGGCTTGTTTTACAGCTGGCGTCTCTTGCAGTACGGGGTAGCGGTACCTCGATTAACTGCACTGCTAAACTTGGGCGCTATACATGATCTTGCATCCCATCTTACCTTAGTAGCGGCTGCGTGCTCGCATCCTGGAGCTGATATTGCTGCGAGCAAAGCAATGGTCGTTGCACTGCTCACCAAAAACACTCCCATACTCCCTCAAGACGAAACCCCAGCAATCTGAATCTCCCACTGCCGCATGCATGGGCTTGTTCTGTCATCCTTGATACCGTCTCCAAGCTAAGCTCGCGAGCTTCATCCCCCCCGCGATTGCGTCGAAACCGACAACATGTCCGATTACGAGCGAACAATCCTCGAATTCTACCAGCTCCCCACCTCGTACCCCTCGGAATGGCCTGCGGAGAAAGATGACGACTCCTCCGGGGACGAAGCCGACACGAAGAAGCACAGCCGGCAAAAGTCGCGATACCAGGCTCTCGAGGCGGCCGCGGGCGATGGCAAGGCCGCGGTGGGAAAAGGAGCTGCCAACAACCATGTTTTGAAGGATGAACCAGATCCCTTGGGCACCACAGATAGTGTCGTCCGTTCGCTGAGAGAAATTGGCCTCCCGGCACAGGATGACGTGCGACTTCGTGAGTCTACCACCCCGAGTCTACCTCAGCAGGGGCTGATCGCATCTTGATAGGCAACCGATTCATGCTGTCCTCGACTACTTTTTCGCCGACCCTGTTCTTGTCACAGATACACCAGCACGCTGACACGCGCACGTTGCTCGAGGGCTTGGATACGCTTTCGCAGTCAATCGACCAAAAGTCAGCCTCCCTCAAGGTTCTTGTGGAGAGCAACTTTGAAAGATTCGTCAAGGCAAAGGCAACGATAGACAATGTTTATAAAGAGATGAAGTACCGTGGAACCGAGGCCAATACTGGCAGATCTTCCATCCATGGTCGCCATTCCAGTCGAACGAGCCTGCGTTCTGGCAGGGCTGGCCTGAACAACCCCTTGGCTTTGTCGTCCGACTCTCGAAAGAAGAACGCGCTGATAAAAGAGAGCGAATATGGTGTTTTGGGCATCAAAGTTCCCCTACTAGACGTTTCTGCCAAAGCCGAAGATGTGTGGGGACCAGCTCTAGGAGGTCGAGAAAAGGAGGAACACTTGAGGTCCTTTCAGAGATACGTACAGCAGTTCAAAGATCCGCTGGAGCTGAGCACTATAATATCCGACTGCATCAAGAGGAAAGACTACGAGACCTTGGTTGAGGCATACAATCGCGCCAGGAAGTTTGCCGACGATGCGCGCGAAGTATCAAAGTACATTGACCGCCAAATGCCAGAAGATGACCAGCTCTACCAAATCATGGTCGCGGCCCGGGTATGGTATGACGTTGATCGCCAAATCCAAAGTTTCAAACGGGATGCATGGAAGAGATTGTCTACCTTACATACCCTGTCGAAATCCGAGAGTCATGTCGGCCGAGGTCCAGACCAGCACATGGACATGATTTCCCTGCTGCTGGAACTTGGCGTCGAAGATAATCCAATATGGGTGTGGCTAATGAGTCGATACGAGTACCTTAAGACCAAGATTCAGTCAACCGCCGAGCACACAAAGGCCGAAATTGAGGTGCTTCGCCGAAGGCTGGCGGGTAGCGAGAAGCCTTCGAATAAGGTTGTGGCCACTCATCTGCGTACATTGGGCCGACAGAGCATCGACAGCAAACCAACCTCGAGCGATTCTGCGGATGTCATTGAGTTGTGGGAAAAGATGCTTGCTTTTCTGACCGGCCTCATCTCTCCTCAAGGCATCCTTGGAGACCTCCTTGAATTTTGGCAGACTGCACAGGGCTTTATCGAAGGCAGAATACAAAGGACGCTACCTACAGGCTACAATGACGAATCTCAGGGACACCACCAACTGACACAAAAAAATGTTGCGGACCTTGAGAAGGGCATCGTGGAACTGGTAGATCTGCTGCGTGGACATGTACATGACTTCTTTGCCGGATTGCCCCCTGAAGATCTTAGTGTGGTCTTCTCGCCGCTCCCTGTCTCACCCAACTCACCGGCTTCAGCTGGCGGTTTTGGCCATTCCCTGAGCCCAACCTCTACACGCGATCCTCGATTCAACTTTGATCCGAATAACCCGCCGCCATCCTCGCCAAAGAAGGGCGAGCCGTGGGAAAAGCTGGCATTTTGGCCTCCTTGGTCGAACTCCATCAGTGGAGTGTACTATCTCTGCAGGATGTTGGCACTGGTCGGCTCAGGCGCGTCTGACCTTGCCACCATTGATCCCATTCGTTCGGGAAATGGCCAAGTTCTCGAGCAGCTGAAGGCCTTGACTGGTGTCTCCAGAGAGCGATGCGTGACGGCTCTGTGCGCTGCATGGAACCGGGACGCCGAGAACATCAAATTCATAGAAGATTGGCTACCGTCCGCCGAGTCCGGAGATGTTACGCGGATGCCTGCCAGCTTTGCCGCATTCGAGGGTGCGCTTCTCACCGGCATGCAAAAGATTCTCTACATCTCCGAGGCCATGTCGAAGCCAGGTGCTGGTGACATTGTCCTGCCGCCGCCTGCCAAGCTGCTCCAGATGGTTCGGAGTCAGTATGTGACCACCTTGTACAAAGCTCTAAGCGGTATGGTGGAGAATGCAGAGCGATCAGTCAAGAAGACTGAAGACGAATGGTCTATTGGTCAGGATGGGGTCATCTCCAGTGTTGCTGCATCGTCAGTGGGCAAGAGTACACTTGATGCCGGAGACCGAGTAAGTCTTGAACACCCCTTTTTTATCCCCCTTTTCACCCCTTGCCCACCTCGTCCCCAAACTAACACTGGTACCAGAACGTCCGAATGCTCCTCACCCTGAGCAATCTGCAGGCCCTACGGTCTCAAGTAGTCCCCAACCTGAACTCGCAGTTCGAGAATGCATTTTCCGTCAAGCTCACGGATGAGTCCAAAACTATCAAGGACGTGCTCGGTCAAATCGACGCTCGCCTCTTCCAGTCCTATACTAAACAAGCTACCGAGAAGCTGCGTGAAATCATCCACTCTGGCCTCGCAGACCATGATTGGGCACCAGCCCAAGGCGAACGGCCTCAGACAGCGAAGCCATACGTATACGAGACGCTTCTGACCCTTGTGCTAGTTCACTCCCAGGTTTCCACAACGGCTGCCTCACTTACGCCTCAGGTTCTTTCGTTCTTGCTTGAGCAGACGTCTTTGCAGCTGTTGGATGCGTTCCGCAAACGCGCTCGCTATTCTCTGAGCGCTCTTATCCAGGCTACGCTCGACGTTGAGTTTATTGCTCAGACGCTGAGCCATTACACTACCGACAAGGCCTCGGAGCTACAGAGCCAGATTTACCAGGAGCTGGACAGCCGTACGGACAATGACGCCCGCGCAAGGCTGCAGAACGAACTACCTGAGATGCGTAATGTGCTCAAGAAGCTCAGGGAGGCGAGCAAGAACGAATTCGCTTGCTTTAGGAAGCCGAAGCGCTCGGGGCAGGGCGTTTCGCGGGTGGATAGTGGGAGCATGTCGCCTACCTAGAAGGTTCGGGTTCATGGATAGGTAGATGCATAATAAGTTTATAGGGGGCATTATGGAGATGTCAAGTATTAATGATGAGTTGGAAATTTCACGCACATGAAAGAGCAAGAGTGTAAATCGTCTAACATCACATTGTTCTCTCATTGATGTGAATATGACCACTCAAGTTACATGTTTAGTTGACCACCATCAAATAGGTTCGATAAATCAATCAGCGCGCGTGGGCGTCTTAGAACGCCATTGCGCCATCGCTCTATGTAATTTTGAATAAAATAAATACAAAGGGAAGAGGGAAAAGAAGGGGAGATGTTGATGAAAAATCTCCCCACCAATACAAAAGGGGGAGAAAAATATCCCGAGCAGGCCAATCTATCATGCTTTTTTGTGTGGTGTGCCTCGCTTTTTGTGAAATGAGAGCCCGATATAAAACCGCGGGTGGACCAGAAACAAACGCCGAGTCATGCGAAGATTTTGTTTTGGAGGGTGAACAAATGAGAAAAGAAAAAGGGAATGGAAAGTAAGTAAGTAAGTGAGTTTTTGCCCCCTTGTCCTCCGTATCGTGAATGCGTTTCGTCTAAGTGTGCGTATTTTGTACTTTTTTGCCCTCCTACCCACCAGTCTAAAAGCGCGCATTTTTCTCTCTCTCAAAAAAGTAGTAGTAAAGAAATCCTCTTTGCGCCAGTGAGGCAAAGTCAGTTTAGTCATCTAAATCGAAGAAGCACAGGTTGTTTGGTAATTAGAGTGATGAAATAATAGTAAAAGAAAAAAAGTTTGCGCAAGGTCGTAGTCTCATGTCTCGTGTAAGTCTTTAGGCCGGCAGGTTGGGAAGTAACAGATGGGAGCAAAACGCCAGCTCGAGGGAACGGGAGTCTGCAGGGGAGAATTGTGAGGCCTTCTGGCGGGCTTCAATGGTGTCGACTGTAACATAATTAGCATATGAAAGTACAAAATTTGAGTGATTTGGAGAGGATGCTTACAATCAAGATCAAGAGTCTGAAAGTATTCCGTGATTTCCGGGTCTTTGTCTTGAACTGTCAATTTCCCATCCAGGCCCCTCAGGGTTTGGGGTAACGCCTTGCGAATAGACAAGAGCATTTTCAACAGCCCAGCTAGACTGCCGCCCTGCTGGGTGAATACGCTTGGGTCTCGCTCAAGGGGCCAGCCTGGGCGGAGATGATCCTGCTCCCAAGCCTTGAACGCCCAGGTAGACTTTTCCACACAGTTGAGGAAGATGATGGCGGTAAGATAAATCTTAAACCCGACCTTTGTCTTGCTGTCAGTGAGCAGCCTGTCCATGTGGTTCAGCAGGCTTTTGGAGGTGCTGTTGGCCTTTCGTTCCGCGGCGGCGTTGAGCTGCATGCAAATCATGGTGTAAATGTCTGCGTCGTTTTCATTTTGTGCTTCCTTTATCCATCTCGGCTCTTCTCCCTCAGTACTTGGCTTCTCTAAAATCGTCCACTGCCGTTCGCGGTCGATGCTCTCGACGAGACCCCATAGCTCCAAAGCCTTCCTGAGAAGGTCGTCTTCCCCTTTTGAAAGCTGGTTGCATGCAGCTTCGAGCGTCACTTTCATAAATTTTGACGGCTCGCGCTCAATAAACGTGGTCAGCACATCTCGCATGTACGACTCGGCCTTGGCCGGGATATCCTCCGAATCCTGGTCAATCATGATGACCTGGTGAAACGGGGTCTTGTCTCCACGAGCCTCCGCCTGTGTTTCGTTTGGCTCCAGTGGATATACTAGGGCTCCAAAGACAATCTTTTTGCCCGCCTCTGGAAAGTGGGATACTTCAATTAAGCTTCCGTCGTTGGTGAGCTTGAGCTGATCTTTGATGAGGTTGATACGGTTTTGAGATAGGACGACCTGAACGCCAGCAGCATATAGGTCGAGTTGTTCATGTAGACGAGTGCGGACACAGCCAGTCCTCCAGACACGGGGTGCCAGAACCTTACGGCATGTATCACAGGGTGTTCCTTTGCCACAGTTTTTCCTCAGGATCCGGCATCGTATACAAGCGCCTATCTTGCGGACTTCTTGAACCTCCTTGCGTCTGGCAGGAGTAAATCTCGACCGTGCGTGGCGTGCCCTGCCATTAATGAGCCCATCACTCGTGTCCATTCGAACACCACCGCGGCTCATTAGAGGCAGTGCTGGGGAATTCTCCGTGAGCAAGGGAATAGGGGTAGTAGTGGCCAAGTATGTCATTTCGCCCCACGGCTGGGAAACGTTCGTATCGGCGAGAGTGGTTGGTAGGGTGGTGGGTATGGTGGTGGGTATGGTGGTGGGCAAGGAGGTTGGCACTGGATCGATAGGTGGCTGCGTCTCTACGGTTGGAGGCGACGAGGTCGGCGGTGGAATATCGGTGGTGACAAGCTGGGGGTCGAGAAAGGACGGGTTCAGGCGGGCTGTAGCAGCAACGGCGACGGAGATGTTGGATGGATCTGGTGATGTTTCGCTGGCAGGGAGGAGAGCCTGAAGACGTTCTTCTGGCGAAAGCTCAGGAGTCGGTGACGGCACCTGCACGACAGCGTTGCCCGCAAAAGCTGCCAGGTCAGCCCCCACACCCGGCGTCGAGCGAGAAGGGGACTGCTGTAAACCTTTCTTAAGGCTGGTGCTTGTCTGCGGACGGCTGTCATAGGTAGCGGGAGGGTTCTCCAATGTGAATTGCTCCTGCAGCTCCAGTCGATCTGGCACAAAGCCGCCGCCATTGGCAGCAGCAGGATTAGGAGTGTCAGACGCCTTCTGGCCGCGATTGTTTTCATTCAGATCGACCTGGCGCGATGCCTCGGCGAGGGTCTCGAGGGCACTCCATCCCTGAGGCAGCGCGAGCTGAGCGGTAGGCTGGCCATTGACCTGGGCCCCGCCCTGAGGACGGTCGATGGCAGTTCTGGCGGTGGTGATGCCGTGGAGCTCGAGGCAGGCTCGCATGCGGTCCGAGTCGGAGATGGCTGGGCATTTCTTGGTGATGTGCGTCGTCAGGCTGTCGATGCGGCCCTTGGGGAAGTTCTCGCCGCACTGCTTGCACGTGTGCGGATAGCGGTTGCTGTTGTCGTTGAGCTTCGGCCCGCGGACGAAATACTCGAGGATGAGGGGATTCGGCTTGCGACCCATTGCGCACGACGGGCCTCGATTGGGGGCGCCCGGCTCGCGGTGTGTTGCGCACAAGGGCCTGGCGACTGAATTCCGCCCGTTGGCTTTGAATCCAAGCTCTCAGTGACGAGGCAGCTTGGATGTTGATCCTGTCTGGCTGGTGGCAGAAAAGGCGGAATGCAGCAGCAGTACGGTTCAGACGTGGGCCTAATGGATTCTGCCCGCGTTATCGACAAAATATTCAGACCGCCTGGTGTTCGGTGGCAAGCGGTATGCAGAAAAAAGAGGGACTCCACGATAAATACGCGCCTACATATCCACAATATGGGCGTGCAAAGCCTCAACAATTGGGAGTGCGAGTGGTGCGAGATGATATTGTCATTGTGTGTGGATAGTTTATGAGCGCCCGCTTTTTTGTGCACGCCACTAAGGTTAGGCTATCGGCACTACGTTAATCCGAACACGCGACAAGATTGGCTGAAATTCTCCGATCCGAACGATTCGATGCCTTTTTTCCTCCGTCCAAAGCAATGGCTGAGCAAAACCCCCCACATTGTTGTGCCTTTTTGGCCTGTGTGTGCATGTGAAGACAGCCAATCACGAGATATCTCCGTCTTGGTGAGCTTTACTTGGTGCTTGACGTCTGTCTTTTCGTCTGATGCTGCTCGTTTCAAGCATCAGGAATAGATACACCCCGCTTCTTGGAAGAATGTCATGGATCACAGAGACGCCAACGAGAACAGAACAGACGAAGCGGGCAAATCACGATTCCTAGCAACCCCAAAGATTCGCTCCCAAGCCACACAGCGTTCCTGGGCCTAACTTATTCTGGTCCTGCACCACGAGAACAAAATAGTGCCTCGAGATGAGAATCCTACCCTATGCTGTGCCAGTCCTCTTCGTGATGCCACCCATTAAGCCGTCCCAAGTCATGCGACATGTTTGTACGCTCACCTTCCAGCTTCATCCTGGGTGGCGCGTGCTCTTTTGATGCCCTTTTGTCGCTTGAACGGCTCCCTGGACGGCCGGAGCGGAGCCAGATCTAATTTCGAATACTTCGTACGACTTATTGCCAAGTCTTGGATTCCCCGAGACACACTCACACTTTCCAAGACTCGGCACCCTTTCTCCCGACCTGGCATCCCCCTTGCCTGTGTAAAAGCGCGCATCTGCATGTTTTTTTGATTATATCAAGATTCAAATGATATTAATGTTGTGCCACATCGGCACTTGAATGCCTTTCTCCTCACAGATCTCCGGCCTTTTCCACTAGCGTTTTGCCTATTCCAGCACAAAGCTGCCCCTCTGGACCATTCACATGGCATGCACATCCCACGTTGTCTCTCAGTCGCTGCCCACTTATGATGATCCTACAAGAACGTGACTGTGTGTGTGTAGTCGGGATGCCTGTTGCAACCATGCCATTGCAGCTTCTCGTGCGGAGCTTGCATCGCCGTGTTGCTTTCCGCTTTCCGCCCTTGGGCACTTTGTCTAGGGGAGCAAGGGGGGTAGGATCCATGGTCCGAGGGTTGCATATAAGTCCGGCGGGATGGACGGGTGCAGAGGATCGTCGTTGCGAGCATGTTGTGTAGTTCTATTGGGCTCTCTATATTTGTAGTCGCAATGTATTCTTCATTATTGTTATTGCCGTTGATCCCATCGCTGGTCAATTCAGCTGCGATTCGTTCTGCTGACTTGGCTGGCTATGTATTAACCAGTGTAAGTGAATGATTGAATCCGCAACTCATGTCTAACCGAATCAATCTGACTGTGTATAGACGGGGACTATCAATGGCGGAAACACTTTCCCCGGTGTTTCTCGACCGTTGGGCATGGTCAAGCTCGGTCCTGATCTGTACTCGGGCACCGATGCTTACTCTGGCTATCTTTCCAATGGCAACTTCACGGGCTTCACGATGCTCCATGAGAGCGGCACTGGAGGCGCACCGAAATACGGCGTCGTTTCTCAGATGCCCGTTGTTGGAACTGTTGCAAACCCTCTGAGCGACGCCATCAATGACACTCGTGCCGCGCCTGATTTTACCGAGATTGGCTACTACAAAGCAAGTCTTGGCTCTGGAACTGTCTTGGAAATGGCGGCGACCAACAAGGCCGGCTTGTTTCAGTACACATTCCCTAGCGTTGGCAAGGATCTCAATGTGCTTGTTGACGTGTCTCATGTCTTGTCGTCCTACCGCGGCCAAGGGCTGGAGCAGCATTTCTTAGGAGGCAGCATTAACGTCCGGCAAGACACCAAGCCCGGATATTATTATTATACTGGTAATGGAACTTATAACAATGTGAGCCGAGATACTATCCTTTGGGTAGTCTGAGCACTTTGCTGAACTGAATGCAGGGATGGAATAGAGCTGGCCCGTGGACGGTTTACTTCTGTGGATATTTCGATGCTCCAGCTTCTTACAAAACATTCATTGGAACGAGCCTAAACTCATCAATCTTGGCTGAATTTTCCAACAAGACAAGCTACAGCTCCCAAACAGCGAGGCTCGGTGCGCTCTTCACATTCCAGCAGCAATCTGTCATCTCTAGGGTTGGAGTTTCGTTCGTCTCCGAGACGCAAGCCTGTGCCAACGTCAAAGCCGAGATTCCTCAGGGGACCAGCCTCGCGACTGTTCGCCAAGGAACTCGAGATGCCTGGAACTCTCAAGTCTTACAAAAGGTGACAACAACCGAAACTAACGTCACTAAGCTGAACCAGCTTTACTCAGCCCTGTATTTCATGCATCTGCTCCCGACAAACAAGACGGGAGAAAATCCTCTCTGGACGTCTGGTGAGCCTTACTACGATGATATCTTCACATTTTGGGACACTGTAAGCTGCACGTCGATTTTGAAAACGGACTGTGATTAACCGTCTTAACAGCACCGATGCACAACCTCTCTCCTCCACATCCTTCAGCCGGCATACCATGAAGAGCTTCTCAGATCCATGGTAGACATTTACCGCCATGAGGGCTATGTCTCGGATGCTCGCTCTTCATTCTGGAACGGCGCTGTCCAAGGAGGCTCAAATAGCGATAACGTCTTTGCCGATGCGTTTGTCAAGGGTGTTCGTGGCAAAGTTGACTGGGAAGGCGCCTATGCTTCCATGGTAAAGAATGCTGAAGTCGTTCCGGCAAACAACAATGATCCACGAGATCCTACAGGCTCGACCAAGGAAGGTAGAAGTGCCCTGCCAGATTGGTTGAAATATGGCTACATCACTCCGTCATTCGGACGGTCTGTTAGCAGAGCTGTTGAATAGTAAGTTGATCCGCTTATAACGTTCAGGCTGCGTGTCTAATCACTCTTACAGTTCAGTCAATGACTTTATGTTGGCTACCGTTGCCAACGGCCTTGGTCTTCAAAATGATTTCCAAAAATATTATAACAGATCGCACAATTGGCGCAATCACTGGAACACTAACATGACTGCTCTTGGATTCTCAGGTTTCCTTGGCCCAAGAAACACCAGCGGTTTCATCTCTCAAAACCCCATCTCCTGCGGTGGCTGCTATTGGGCAGATTACTACTACCAGGCTCTCCCGTGGGAATACTCTTTCAACGCTCACCACGATTTGGACACCATTGTTCAGTACTCTGGCGGAGCAGATACCTTTGTGCAGCGCCTCGAGATGACCTTCCAACCAGGCGTCTACTCCGGCAACAGCGCTTTCGGCAGCACAATCTTCAACCCTGGCAACGAACCCAGTTTCGCTACTCCTTATCTGTACAATTTCGTCAACAGGCAAGATCTCGCCGTTAAACGAAGTCGCTTCATTGCTAAATCGTACTACAAGCCCACGCCGGGCGGTCTACCCGGAAACAGCGACGCTGGAGCCATGGAGTCGTGGCTGTTGTGGAATATGATTGGCTTGTATCCCATGACGGGCCAGACTACCTTTCTCATCGGATCTCCCTGGTTCACTGACTTGACCATCTCCCTAGGCGGTGGCAAAACGCTCAAGATCACTACCACCGGCGGGAGTGAAGATGTTTACTATGTTCAGTCGCTCAAGGTCAATGGCAAGACGTGGAATAAGAGCTGGGTGAGCTGGTACGACATCTTTGCTAATGGAGGGACTCTTGATTTTGTGCTTGGTAGCTCGCCTACGAACTGGACGACTGGTCCGACACCGCCGAGTCCTGGGAGTGCGAGTGCGGCGAATGCGAGGAAGATATTGATTGGCATGTCCAAGGCAAGCTAGGTCTTGACATTATATATACAGAATAAATAAGAGAAGGAGAAATATAAACTAGATATAGTACATAGCAGCAGTTTATTGAAAAAAAATTGGTAGCTACACGCTTCAACATATGCCTTTCTGGTCAGATGGTATGATTCAGCAGAACATGCATCTGGCAAAAGGGTAGAGAAAAAAGTAAGTAAGATAAAAGAGCAAGCTGAATAGTGATAGTTGAATGAATAGCGGCTGGTATATAATGAGTACATATCCGCATACATCAAGAAGAAAACAAATCTGGTATTTCACCCCTCCCTAATTCCCGACACCCAAAGAACGCCTCGCTATGCCTGTCTGGCCCAGGGTAGACACATAGATTTGAAACTCTTCTAGCAGTTAATTTTTTTCTTCTTTTCCATAGCAATAAAGCAAAACCAAAGGCGCTTATTTATCGCCATCCCAAACATTACGGAATTCGTCAGAGTCTGGAACTTGATAACTGGGCGAATGGTCGTGTACATCTTCGTGGTCGGTAGAGGCCCATGGCTGGTGCTCTTCTATGGCGGGACTCTGGTTCCCATCGTAGCTCGGTGTTGCTCTAGCACTGCTCTGGTCTTCCTGATGAGGTTTTACATCAGATGGACTCGGTTCTGTGTGCTGCACAGTCTTCTTTGACTTCTTCTTCTTCTTGATAACAACCACTGGAGGCGGTTGCTCTGATTCGGTGTGCTGGTCCTGCCGGTGCAATGAACTGGCTGAGTTGTTACGTGACGGCGTAGGAGCGTGAGATGGGGAAGAGTAGAGTCTGGTTTCTGAGTTGCTTGCCCAGGAGGCATAACGCTCCCTGAGTGGCTCGCTCGCAGTAACAACTGGGTACTATTCACGCAGGGTAAGCATGGGCACATGAACAGTTCGGAAACGGGCTGACAACTTACATTCCAATCCCCATATTCTAGCTGCCGGGCGTTGTCATATAGATGCTCGTCATCGGCATCAATTTCAGGCTCCTCAAATGTGCCATGTGCGTTCTCATTCAACTGATCAGGGCGAGTGGAACTGGAGGATCCATTGCCATTGCCCAGCAACGGCGATGTCGCATTCACCTCTCCTGGTTTGGGAATCCAATATTTCCCTTTACCTCCGCGTTCGTACCGCATCCCTTCTCTTAATCTAGCAAATCTTGACCTGGAGTCTTCATGCGCCATGATCCTGTCTCCAGAGTCGAAGAATCGGTAACCGTAGTTGTCTCCCCTAAATGTCTCCTTGGAATCTTCAATGAGGTCTTTGACTCCGAATGCGTCACGGAAGGCATAATTGAGTGGCATACGAGCCGATTGGATGCGGTTGTCGGCAAAATCATGCCAAGAGAAGGCATACCAATGGGCGACGGCGAAAATGGGCATTTCCACGCAGATAAGAGCGTCCTGGATAGCCGCAGCAAGATTGTCGCGGGTGTAGCCCTGAACGTCGTCCGGGATGACATTGAGCCAGACTAGAATCGACAGGAAGAATCCCTGCCAATAGGAAGCAAAGATGATAAGCTTGATACACAAGAACTTGGGGACCGGCCGAAACGGTACCAGGTCCCGGTGCATGCAAACCCAAAACAGTCCAAGAGAGTACAAGCTGACTGTGACACTGATGTTGTAGATGATACCACTCCAGAAATAGCCGGATTTAGCTCCAATGTATCCCTCCTGATAGGTATCTGTAGCCTTCATGATGATCGCTGCGACAGCCAGGATGGGCTTGAGCCATGCATATTGAAGGATGCCCCGCTTGATGGCCAAGAAGGTATACGGGTCTGAGATATCCACCTTGGGCAGGAAATGGTTCATGGGCCACAAATGATGGACCGGAGCCCGACCGTGGGTGATGATGATGACCGCTCGCTCTCCGCCCATGTAGTTGATAAGAAGCTGGAAAAAGGTGTAGATGGTAAACGCCTCGTAGATGTCTCGGATTGGGTCCACGAAGGCGGCGGCCTTTAAAGAAACCATGCTCGTCCACGACGCGATCGAGTAGATGGGCACCATGAGGAGAATGCGGACGACATAGCGCTGCAGCAGCGGTTTGCGATAGTTCTTTGCTTGGAGCCATATTGAGCTGTCGAGGCTGATCAGCAAGCTGCGCGGCCAGGAGAAGAGCACGGATAGCTTACATCATCGACAGTAGCGTTGCTACTATAGACGCGACACCTGCTACTATGATGGTGGCGGTGGTGAACTTCTGGCCGGTGCCATGATCAGGCATGATGGATGGCCACGACGCGACCCTCTGAAGATCGGGGGAGAGAGTCTGGATAAAGCGCTGGGAGGAGAGCTGGAGATTTAGCTCATGGCTCTGTGAAATCGAGGAAAGTTTGCTGTCGAGGCACAGCACTCGGGGCGATCAAGACAAGACAAGCTCCGTGGCTATGGAAGAGAGGAAGAAAAGACGAAGTGTGACGAAGCTCACAAGATCAGATCGACTGGTCATTGCCCTCGTTGGCTCCCAAACAAGGGCCTCGCGGCCGGAGCTTGGACCCGGAGGATGTACCCGCCCACCAGCGCCTGGCGCGGAAATACATCCAGATGATGTACAGAGCATGTGCTGCTGCTTGCTTAGCTCGTGCATAAAGCTCCACTGGCCGCTAGTGGATGGTCACTGCTGAAAAGGGCAATTTAGCGGGTAGCTCCAGTGCTCCGTAGGGGGTGACCACAGTGGATGCCAATCCCAATTCCACCGGGCCATGGAACCTAGACCTTGAAATCCATCCATCTAATCTTCCATCACCAACAGCCTCGCGCCTTGTCGAAGCGCACCGCCTCTATACCGCAGCTTCGGAGCCATGCAGAAGAGCATTGTCCCAGCATTGAGCATCAACCGACGCCTTTCGCGATAACCCCCGACACTCGGAGAGCGGCGGCTACGGACAATGCTATTGGATCTCTGGCAGGCGTGGGGAAGCTCTGCGAAGGTGTCGTCGAGATGGAACGTCTGGTGATCCCAGATATCGGGCCTGGCCAGCCGCGGCCGGGCTTCAATTAGTGAGTTACACTGGCCATGGACTTTTCCGTTGTGAAACTAATCAGTGTCTCCATCCAGTGAGTTTCTCATCTTCATCATTCTGTCCGCGATCCTCGCCATATTCTTCCTGCTCTACTTCAACCGAGTGTTTGGCTCCATCGTGTCCTACGGCATTAGGACTTGGACCTGGCATCGATACCGCATATATCTTGACATCAAGGCGCTTCAGGTCTCTCTTTTAGCCGGACGAATCTTTTTCATGGGCTTGCGATATCACGGCTCCAACGAAACATTTTTGGTACAGCATGGAGACATCACATGGCGATATTGGTTGCGCCGCGTAAGAGAGGCCGACATATTCGTGTCGAAAGGAGAGGACAATGTGGCATCGGCAAGAGAAAGGAATTCCAAATTACCATGTCGCATAAACGTAAACCTTGTCGGCCTGGAATGGTTTGTCTACAACCGCAGCCCGGCATACGACTCGGTTCTCGCCGGTATCATCGACCCAGATTCATCTGGCGGAAGCTCAAGTACTGGGGCGTTTGATGAAAAGGGTGATGCAGGCTTACGATCACGAAATACGACCCATGAGGATTCGTCCGAACGAGCTCCCATTTCCCGGGAGAAGAGCAACAAACCGCTGAATGGAAACGCAAGTCGACCTAGCACTGGCTCGAGTAGCGGCAGTAGCGACGAGAGCGAAGATGACAAAAACGAAGAGCTGCCTTTTATCCTCAAACTATTTCCTATCCAAATAGAATGCGAGAAAGCCGCAGCGGTGTTCGGAAATGATAATACAAAGGCAATTCTCATCGTGAAAGCCGATACCCTCTCCGGAGACGTCGATGCCACGGAGACAACGACTGTGGACCAGTATCGACAAGTATTCAAGTTCGAATTGGAGCATCCTGTGGTGGAAATGCTGGACAACCTGGACTATAAGGAAGACCAGGCAACACGTGCTAAACGGGAACGGGAGAGCGTGCCCCAAGAACCACAGCATGTCCCAAGGAAGTCGTATTTTCGCCAGCAAAGACGCAAGGCGCTTAGTTCCCTGCGAAACTTGGTGCCGTACTGGCGGAGGTCTGTCGAGTCATTCTCAAGCGACGCCCGAGCTGGCGGGGGAGTTGTACCAGCCCACGTCCCCGGAGTTGTCCAATGGCAAGGTCTATCACGGTATCTTGACGACCAAGACATAGATGATAAAACTCGCTGGGCCCCCGTTGAGTATGCTGCTGTTTCGACCATTCTTGATAGCCCTTTATGCCAGTTGACTGTATTCTGGGATGCCGTCAGCAAGGTCACCGAAGAAGCTCATCGCCAGAGGCAATTGGACCCGTCCTTGAACATCAACGGATCTGAGCCACCAGCATGGGGAGTGCAGTTGTCGGTGAAAGGGGGGACAATGAATTACGGGCCCTGGGCTGATAGGCAAAGGGCTGATCTACAGCGTGTTTTTGTGCCCTCCTTGTCTAAAGATGGCAGTGCCACCGGGCCGCTTCCAGTTGGCGCATGGAGAGTACCTACCCAGTTCGACCTGCTGATAGAATTGGAAGATACAGTCACGTTGCGCATCCCTATAAGGGAAGAGTCCAAGAACTGGCGTTGGCGTGGTAAAGAGCATATGGCCAAGCCGGATACGGCTCGCAATACGCGCAAGCATCGTACCAGGGGCAAGAAAAACTCCAAAAGCGAAGCAACCCAGCCTCGCCCTGCCGGATGGCTCGAATTCAAGATTCCTCAAAACTCCACCGTCAGGTATTACATGGACATGGTTGCGAATTCGGCTGGGTATAAAAATAAGTGCAACATTCACTTGCCGACTTCTGAGCTGTGGAGCAGTGTCAATCACGATTTGCTCTGGCGATCTGGTGCTCTGAAAATCTCATGCGATCTGGCAACTCCTCTCTCGTGGAACACGCTACGTAATTGGCATTTCCACCTCACCTTTGATGGCATGGATATGTATCTCTTGCGAGATCACATCTTTTTGATTGTTGACTTGGTTGACGACTGGGCGGCAGGGCCTCCTGCTGAATACCTTGTCTTCACACCTTTTCTGTATCACCTTCACCTCAACTTACAAAACGTCAAAATATTTCTCAACGTCAACGATGGTAATATCATCGACAAAGCCACTGCAATGGACGATAATTCGTTTCTTATTCTGTCTAGTCCGGAACTGAAAGCCGAAACTTGTATACCCCTTGACAAGTTTCGACCAAGCACAAACAGTATTCCTTTTGACGTCCGAGCGGACACTCTTGACTTGACACTTCATACCTCTCAGTCTAGTACCCAAGCGACTTTTGTGAAATCCAAGGAACTAGGACATATTGAGGGCTTGGGAGTTAATGGAAGTTATCAATACAACGCTACGACATCTCCAGCCAACACGGACACTTTGGTCTTGAACGTCCACGCACAATCACCATGCGTTTCTCTCTACGGATTCTTGGTCCGGTACATCATGGTACTTAAGGATAATTATTTCGGAGAGCATGTTCATTTCAAAACTCAAGATGAATACCAGGAGCAACTGCAGGCCAAGATACAGAATCCGGATGCTGAGATGGTGGCCATCCGCCCCCCTCCTAAGAAGTCGAATGATATGGATGTCATTTTGGCCATTAGAGTGGACGATCCTCGCCTACTGGTTCCAACTAATATCTACTCTGCCAAGCGCTATTTGCAGGGCGAACTGGCCTCATTGTCTCTGGACTTGCGCTTTACAAACTATTATATGGATATGGAACTTGATATAAGCCCATTGAGTCTGTCCTTGGGCAGCTCCGATAGCGATTTGGATTCTCCTAGTATGTCATCCTCCAGCACGCAGCTGTTTATTGACGGCATTCGGGTATATGGTCACCGCACATTTGGCCTACCTCCATCAGAACCAACGTACCTTTGTAACTGGGATGTTTCTGTTGGCACTGTTGCCGGAGAATGCACACCCGATTTTCTGGCGGCTTTAACCAAAGCAGGACCAGCATTTGGATTTACATTTGATGACGTGGAGAACGCCCTTGTCCCGTATTCCTCTCTAATCTTTTACGACGTAACATTTGTTCGTGTTGCCGTTCAGTCAATCCGCCTTTGGATACACGTGGAAGAGAGCGTTTTCTGCTTCTCCACCGACACTATCGACGTGAATAGCAATGACTGGGCCCGGTCACATTATTCTAAGCGGGCAAACGTGCTCATACCAAATATTCAGTTCTCATGTATAAATGCAGAGTCAGCGGCAAGACACAAAGTGCGTCCGCAACACCCTGTTGAAACCCAAGCATATCTGAGGACAGATGTTCGGCTTGCGACTGTTGGAAGGAAATTCCACTTCACGGAGGAGCGCAAAATCCAACAAGATCTAATCTATCGTGAGGATCAGCGAACAGACCGAACGCCGTTCTTAATTCTTCCTGGTACGGGTGGCGATTATATCCCCGAGCAGGTCGACCCTCCTGCGCAGTGCATGCCACCTCCTCCCCCTCCACTCGGTGAAGCTGAGTACGATAAGGGGTCGGCTCCGAGTACAATGAGCTCCCGCTCGCGGAGGGTGACTCGCCAAAAGTCGTTTGTCTCCTTCGCTAGTACTTCGAGTAGTAGCAGTTTTCGTCTCAACAGTCCTCGCACCATGCGTAGACCATCGAAATTCGGAGACAGTTTGTCGATACGATCTGCAGCTATGAGAGGTTCTCGCTCTGAATTTGAAAAGGGCGAGCAGTCTGTTTCCCCCGGTAGACGGTCTTCGTTCTACAGTACCGTTGGCGATTTTTCAGCACATGAAAACCCGGAGCAGTCGGCCATTGCTTTCTCAAGTCAGTATTTTACGCCAAACTTCCCCCTAGAGGGCGTCAGACCAGATTCTCGGGACGCGACCTTCCCACCTATTGAACGCGAAGATATGGACTTTTTTAACCGGCTGAAAACGGACCTGAACGATATTGATCCTGCTGATCTCAGTGAAAACCACGCACAGTCAAGCACCATTATTGAATTCCCCTCTGGAATAAGCGCCTTTGTTACGCCTGAAGCGGTGCGTCATGCAACTATTCTGCTGGCCGCCCTGCAGCCAACTGAGCCCGAAGATGTACTGGATTCTCTCCAATCCAGCACCATAACGGAAATTTTCAAGTCTAAAAAGGAGGCAACCATTAGCGGAGAAATGACTGATATCATGGTCAAGGTGCCTAGAATCAATGTTCGGTTTCTCAACTCATCAACATTAGACTCGCCAG